TATTTGTAAGTCAATATTTCTTATTCCCTGAACCTGTACTTTGCCAGCACACTTATCTGGTATGACAACCCGAAGGACCGCCAGAATATTCTCACAGGTTCTTCTGCAACAGGATTAATCTTGTTCTTTCGTGAATGGAAGGTCAGTCTCAGACCCATATGTATTATTCAGCGCTCTAATGGCTATTATTGTATATTAATGTCGATGCTGAATCTCACATGATATCACTTGTTTAGCTTCAATTTTGCATTTACTACTTTTTTACCTATAACATACCATTTTGAAGGAAAATAATGATTATGTAGCGAATTTGTCGCAAAGTTATGAACAATCAACTCGATTACACTGTAATGCTTGCTTTATATCTTATGTTACCATTGTTTACAGTTTTGATTCGCAGATTTTTCTTGTTAGCTCCTAATGAATGCGATGTTGTTATCAAGATCATGGTGATTATGGCCGCTCTTAACAAACCACTCATATTTAACTTGGCTTTATAGCTTGCTTGCAGCAGACCGTTTTTGATCAAGTATCGGTCGGTGACAATTTACCATGGCACCATGACGTGTGGTATCAATGGTATGGCGGCAACATAAAACTACTAACAACATATTTATAGTCATGTGGAGCACATCAGCTATTTTTATGGCTATATTTGTATAAAAACGGCATAGAGGAGCACTTATCGATTTTAACATCAATTGATTCAACGGCTTATAAAAAATGAACTATTATCAAAACGTGCTTGGTTCATCTAAGCATTTGCAATACCAAGAAAGAAGCGCTAAAGACTTTTTATGTAAAAAGACAAAAAATACGGATAGTTAACCAATTTATATCCCAAAGTGTCAGACAAGTGTGTTTATTTCGGTAATATGGCATGTTAAGGGATGGATAAGATACTTTAACAAAAAGATTTTGGGTATAATCCTTGATTCAATGATCGATGTTATTCTAGAATTCGACGGCAATTGAACACTAGCAGCAAAAATGCCTTTTATTTTGTGAATGTTCCGCTGTTATATAATAACGAATGGTTATAAATTGGTTATGTTGACTAAGAGCCGTTTAATTACTTCCTCATATGACAGCAACATTCAAACAAACACGCTTTTTCGACCCTTTACGGTCGGTAAGGCCACTAACCTATTCATGGAACAATTGCAACATACAACACAAAAGGAAAAACAAAATTATAGAAAAAGTGAGAACAGCAAAAGGTACAAAACGCAACAGAGATAAAGCGAAAGACCGTAAAACAGACCAAAGAACTGGATAAAACTGAAATAGAAGGATTATTGTGAAAGTAAAACAGAAGAATAGACACGAGCAAAACCTGGACAAATCTCCAAATCACAAAAAAGCAAAATGAATTTATCATAGCTTATCAAAGTAGTAGTCAGCACCCTTCAACTCAACAAATCCCCTCTTCTTTCTCACCGATGTTACGGTGTCGTGCAGCAAGCTGTTTGAGTCCGACAACGATCCGGGAAGAATCGAATAGTGCGAGAACGTCAGAACCACGCTTGCCTCACCACGCGTGGCCATCAGCAGCGCGCTGTTAAATCCAAATGATTCTCTCACCGGCAGGAATCCCGTAATAGTCGTACGCAAACCACCGTCGCATTTGTACTCTTCGGCTACACCCCTGCGCTGCGACAGCACGCTATTGACGCCACCGATCTGATCGGATGCCACGCTTATCTCTGCAAGGAAGATGGGCTCGTAGAGGATCGGCTCAGCCGCAAGGATCAGCCCCTTGCACACGCTCGTCATAGGCGCACTAATCTGGTTGCCTGTCCTGTGAATGGCATCGGAGTGCAGCGTACAGTCCATGAGGTCAAATCTGCATCCTCGCAGAACTTCGCCGATCAACGGCCCACGCGCAGTTACCTCCCTAAAACCTTCCCGCATATACTCCTTAATTTCATTTAGATATGCAATACCTTTCGTGCTGTCAATCACAATATTTGGTCCTTTATCTTCCGGTCCGTAGAAAAGTATCTTCTTGACCCAATCGTCCTTTATGCCCATCATCTCTCTAAAACGAACCGATCGTTCCTTTGGATCCTTGACGCACAGCGCACCACTCTCAATATTTTCAACCAACTTCTCTTCCATCGGCTCAATGCACATGAAAATGCGGTTGTGCTTGTTCGGACTTTTGCTCATCTTCGGCTCACCCACCGTTTCACTGATACCCTCCATGTACGTGACCTGCGGCTCACCGGCAACCACCCCGCAACATGCATACTCCTTTCTCAGGTCCTCAAGCGAAATTTCCAGATGCAGCTCACCTGCACCGGCCAGCGTAAGCTCACCGTTGTCGGAGAAGTTCACCTGCGTAAGCGGATCGCTCTTGCTCAGCTTGATAAGACCTGCTTTGAGTTTGGGCAGATCAACGGGATTTTCCGGTCGCAGCGCGTACTTAACCACAGGACTGACCGAGAATTTCATGCTCTTGATGTTGTGACAGCCATCCCACGTGGTGATCGTGCCCGTCTTCTTTAGTTCGCTATCTATGCCTATCAGGCCAACAATATTACCTGCCGGGCACTCGTCTATGTCCTTGACCACACGACCCATCATCACGACCGTTCGCTGGATCGTTTTGACGTGCAGGTCTGTTTTGCTTCCCAGGGTGTAGTCAGGTCCTTGTATGCGCACCTTCATTCCTGGCTTGATAACACCGCTGAACACGCGGCCCATCGCAATGAACCGATTTTCAGAGTACGGCACCATCTTGGACACGTACATAACGCACGGGTCATCAGGAGAGGTGCTCGCCGTAGCGATACCACGCCCAGCCTGGTCATCAATGGGCCCGGTGTACAGGTGCGGCGCACGGTACTTCTGCGCAACCGTTGGTGATGGCAGATTGAGAATAATCTGCTCAAGCAGCATGTCACTCGCAGGCAACCACGCACGCATTGCTATCTTAAACAAATCCTTCATCTCGTTATAATTTATACTCGCTGGCAGTGTCACATCAAACTTGCTCAGATACTCCCTCAAGCCCTTCTCGTCGAGATTCTCACAAAGCTCCTTAACACGGTAGATGGGATTGAGAACGAACACGATGAAAGCTGTGCGCTCAGGAGGACCTTCCCTCAGGAACTTGCCCTCAGGATCGAACGGATCATCTGATGAGTAGTACACGCCCTCAGACCATAGCACCTTACACACGAATGTTTCAGGATTCGGCTTGTTATCCTGTTTCATCTGTTTGACGTAGTACTTAGCGAAGCTTTTCAGCGTAAATCCCCATCCCTGCAAACCTGAACAGAACGAAATTTCGTTCTTCTGCGGGAACAGTGACTCGATCTGGAAATCATCGGCACCCTGGCAGATCATCTGCAGCTTAGCGTTGAAGTCCTCCACACGCCTCCGCAGCTTCGCAGCCAGGTCCACCTTTGACTCTTTCAGCTCAAGCAACGCCCTATCCAACTTGTTGAGCACCACCGTGGGCATGATCCTCTCGGCAATTGCTTGTCTTAGCACCGTTTCGGTCTGCACACATATCCCGTCCACACAGTCAATCACAACCACAGCACCGTCCGTAACCCTCAAGGCAGCGGTCACCTCCGACGAGAAGTCCACGTGCCCTGGCGAGTCAATCAGGTTTATCAGGAATGAATTGCCGTTGTAGGGCTGCTTTATGTGCTCGCTCAATACCTTGTTGTTCATTGTGAAGTTCATGCTGATAGCCGTACTTTTGATCGTTATACCTCTCTCCTGCTCATCCTCACGCGTGTCCATGTACCGCTTGCCACTTGCATCCTCCGATGCAATTTTCGCCTTAATTACCAGGCAGTCCGTCAACGTACTTTTGCCGTGATCCACGTGCGCTATCACCGATATGTTGCGAATGTTTGGTTGGTTGTTCATGAGCGCTTGCACTTTGAGCATTTGCCTTTCAACCGCCATTTTCCTAAGGGTAAAAATTTTTTAGCAATTTATACGGTGAGTGCGTGGTGGTGCGCGGTGCGGATGGAAGTGCATGGTGCGGATGGAAGTGTGCGGTGCGGATGGAAGTGCATGGTGCGGATGGAAGTGTGCGGTGCGGATGGAAATGCGTGGTGCGGATGGAAGTGCATGGTGCGGATGGAAGTGTGCGGTGCGGATGGAAGTGCGTGGTGCGGATGGAAGTATACGTGTGCCCTACCATGGTGCTCTTAGTAGCATCCTCAATACTAATCATGCACAAGTTCAACATTTTACAGGTACAAATACAAAAATACGCACCTTCTATGCACTACCCATACCACCACCCTAATCCTTGCTACATATACCTCCTGCCCCAGAGCACCGGAAACAAACACGTATTGATAAAAATACGTAACACCACACGTATTATCAAGTACAGATCAAATTTACAGGCACAGCATTCTCACAAGCTGTACCGTTCACGATCCGTGAGCAACATTCCCACGCCACCGTGCACCACTTATCCTCCTAAAAGCATTTACAATCATTGAATTTGGAATGGTGTATCACGGGGTGTTACGATGAAATACATCAAAACAAGTGCTGTGTTAGGAATGTGGTGTAGGGATGGGTAAGGTAGCAGGGTAGAGCACCCCTGTTACTGCCCGTATCACCCGCCTCTGCTACTCCTATTACCGCAGCACGTACTGAAATATGAAGTGGTGTGGTAAAGCGTACCATGAGAGAAGTAAATGCTGTTATTACGCAGAAAGGGTGATTTATCCTGGTGGGTAGAGAGATGCGGTGAAAGATGCCTTTATTACGTAAGGAGCGGTACTGCGCAGCAACACCTTAAATTACATTATTACGTTCGTGATCGGTATCTTTTCCTGTCCTGCTACCAGCCACTGCTTTGAACACACTTGATACAATGCTTTACGTGATGGTATGAGATTTTTATGTTTGCATGTTATGATAGTAAACGTGGTACGGATTGGTTGTTCATCATTTCCTGCGCTATTGCTTGTAATATCGGTTTTGTATGACATTACTTCATTTTTTATCATTTGCTTAGCGGTACTACATCGGTAGTGCGTTGCTGTACGTGATGATAAATGAGGTACTGTGGTGTAAGATTGGCATGGCAGGGGTGGAGGAGGGCAGTGTGGTGTGAAATGCGGTAAAAATGTGAGGAATGGGTAAAAATGTGAGGAATGCGGTGAAAATGTGAGGAATGCGGTGAAAGTGTGAGGAACGCGGTGAAAGTGTGAGGAATGCGGTGAAAGTGTGGTAAGAATATAAAAAATATTAAAAGTGTGGTAAGAATATAAAAATGTGGTAAAAGTGTGGTAAGAATATAGAAATGTGGTAAAAGTGTGGTAAGAATATAGAAATGTGGTAAAAGTGTGGTAAGAATATGAAAATATTAAAAGTGTGCAATAAGGTGGTATAACACTCTACAATATATTTCAACACACTATACCACCAATTATATACCATATCATACCGCAATACCACGTCATACCATGTGTTGCACGCCCCTTCTGCCCCAACATGCTTTAAACCTCACGCACCATCCTCACGCACCCGCCCACAAACCCTTTCCGGTCATCATGTCAACATGAGCATCATATAAATAAATCATTAATAAAAACCATGTTTCATCACCTGATTAAATTTAACTGGGCCATTCAAAGTATGTTTCTGTTTCATTGTCCTATAACATGTTTTGTTTTACCACAAATAACTATAAAATGAAATTAGAGGTGCTTAAAACATGCGATTATTGCTGTTAATCTTACAGAACGTGGGTGCACGTGATCCTCATTCGGGTCACTTGAACTCACTAAGTGATATGTACACTCGTCCGCAGCCTGGTCCTAACGCATCCTTTAGTTATGTGCCCGATAGAATGGGGGGCGGTATGGCGAAGAATCATAGCTCAATGGCCGGTAGTCCAGGGTTTGGGGGACATGGACACGGTGGTGGCTATGGAAATGGATGGGGTGGGGTTAATGGAGGTGGTGCTGGTGCCGGTGGATACGGCTATGGGGGACACGGTGCAAATGGAAATGGCTGGGGTGGTGCTTCATATGGATATGGTAGGGGTGGTGGTGGACATGGTGGCCATTTTGCTGGTGGTAGAGGTGGGGGACATGGGTTTGGTCATGCTCCTACCGGTGCTGTAGCAAGAGAAGCTGCTATGGGCAATCCTGCTGCTCAGGCTGCTTTGGCCGGAAGGGCTGCTATGGGCAATCCAGGTGCGCAATCTGCTCTTGCTGGACAGGCTGCTATGGGTAATCCTGCTGCTCAGGCTGCCATGGCTGGAATGGGTGGTGGAATGGGTGGCGGAGGAATGGGTGGCGGAGGAATGGGTGGTGGCATGGGTGGTGGAGGAATGGGTGGTGGAGGAATGGGTGGTGGAGGAATGGGTGGTGGCATGGGTGGTGCTGGTGGACTTGCAGGGTTAGCAGGTGCTGCTGGTGCTGCCGGTGCCGCTGGTGCTGCCGGTCTTGCAGGATTAGCAGGTGCTGCCGGTGCCGCTGGTGCTGCTGGTCTTGCAGGATTAGCAGGTGCTGCCGGTGCCGCAGGTGCCGCTGGCATGGGCGGTGGTATGGGTGGAATGGGAGGCGGTATGGGTGGAATGGGCGGTGGTATGGGTGGAATGGGAGGCGGTATGGGTGGAATGGGAGGCGGTATGGGTGGAATGGGAGGCGGTATGGGTGGAATGGGCGGTGGTATGGGTGGATATCCTGGTGGAATGGCCGGCATGGCCGGTCGTGCAGCAGCCGGTGATCCATACGCCCAAGGCGCCATGGCAAACGAAGCAGCAATGGGCAACCCTGCTGCACAAAGAGCAATGGCAGCTCAAGCCGCCGGCGGAAACGCCGGTGCAACCGGTGCACTTGCCGCTCAGGCGGGACAGGGTGATCCATATGCTGCTGCCGCATTGCAAGGACAAGCAGCAGGAGGAAATGGTGCAGCACAAGGTGCAATGGCAGGCGATTCCCTAATGGGAGGACCAAACTCGCAGATGAGGAATGCTCAGAGAGCAAATGAAGCGGGCATGTCAGCACATCAAACACCAATACGAGGAAATGCACAGCGAGCGATGAGACCGATGTCGGGGATGACAGATGATGCGTCCAGGAAAGCAATTGCACAGCAGGAAGCAATGAACAAACTGCAACAGAACAGAAATCCGTACATGAATAACGCTGCTGCGGGCGACATGAATGCTGGCGGAATGTCAGATGCTGCAAATGCGGCAATTGCTGCCGAAGAAGAGGCTGACGCGCTGCTGCAAGATGTTCCACCGGGTGAGATGAAGGCCGCAATGAAGGCTGCTCAGATGGCAAAGAAGGTGGGACCAGCTGCCGCCGCTGAGGCTGAGTCGCTTGCAGCGGCCGATCCGAATGTCACACCTGCACAGGCCAAGGCCGCGGGTGCACAGGCTGCTGCCAACGCAGAGCGTGCTCTCGAAGATTACGCAAGCCAGGAACAGGAGATTGCACGACAGGGTGCAGAGAGGGAAGCAGCACGAGAGGCCGGTGATATGGCCGAAGAGATGATGGGACGTATGAATCCGCAATCAAGACCTTCAGAACGTGCTGCCGCTGGTGCACAGGCTGCTGCCCAGGCTCAGCAGGCATTTGATAATCAGCGAAATGCTGAGGGACAAATGCAGAACGCGGCTGAACGTAATGCTCAACGTGATGCGGCTAACCAGGCAGCCGGCGAAGCTGCTGCTGGCGATGCTGCAATGGGCGGTGCAAGCCCTGAACAGGCTGAGGCTGCTGGCATGCAGGCTGCCGCCGCAAGTAATGCAATGAATGCGCCAGGAAGACCCGAGAGAGAAATGCAGGCTGCCGAACTTGGACAGGCAGCTGCTGGCCAAATGAGTCCATACATGACACCACGTGAGATGCAAGCCGCGGGTATGCAAGCTGCCCAACAGGAGCGCGCAAGACCAGGGTCATCACCTGGAAGTTTGATGCGTGCGGGCATGGAGGGTGCTATGCAGCAAGCACAGGCCGACGACGGATCGCTTTACATGTCGCCTATGGAGATGGAACAGGCTGCTGCCGAAGGTGCCAACGAGGGCAGAAGAATGAGAATGGCACAACGGGTTCCGCAGCTCAAGGCAGCCGCTGATGAAGGCGCTGCTGAGGGTGCGGAGATGGCCCGCAGAATGAAGGAAGCACCACTACAACGTGCAGCTGCCGAGGGCGCAGCCCAAGGCGTGGCAATGGCCAGGAAGATGAAGCAACCACAGAGAGCGATGAGAGAAGCCGCCGAAGAAGCTGAAGCTGAGAACGCCGCCGCGGCTAGGGCTGCACAGGAACCAGGACTACCTGAGATGGCTGCAGCTGAAGAAGGTGCTGCTGAAGGTAAGCTGTTGGGTAAGGCCATGAAATATCCGGAGTTGGTCAAGGCATTAGCTGAAGGCGAGGCCGAGGGTGCTGCCCTTGGAAGTGCGCTAAATCATCCGACAAAGGCAGAAGCTGCTGCTGAGGGTGCTGCCGAGGGTGCCGCCATGGCCAAGGCACTGAAGAAGAAGCCCGAACTGAACGAGGCTGCTGCCGCTGCCGAAGGTGCAAGGGAAGGAAAGAAAATGGGACAGTCGATGAAACGTCCTGGTGAACTTGCGCAGGCTGCGGCTGAAGGTGCTGCTGAAGGAGTCAAGCTCGCAAATGCGATGAAGGTGCCCGCTGAAATGGCCAAGGCTGCCCAGGAGGGAGCGCTGGAAGGACAGCAGGAGGCACAGAGAATCAAAGATGCAGAAGAAGAAGCAGCCAGAAGAGCATTTGAAAATGATCCGCAGATACAAAGAGCAATAAAGGAAGGCTCCGCACAGGGTATTGCAGCTGGTAAAGCAGCCAAGAAGGCCGCTGCCAGAGGCGGCGATCCAATTGCCGCAGCGGAGGAGGCTGCTGCCAAGGAAGATGCGTTGCAGCAAGTTGCTAAAGACCCGATAGCGCAAGCCGCGATTGCTCAAGATCTTGCCGAAGAGGAGGCAGCCATTAATAAGATGGCTAAGACTGTGCCTGAGGCTGCGATGAAGAAAGCATTGCTCCAAGGCTCATCGCCTGCGGAGGCACTGAAGAAAGGCCAATCGATTGCTGCAAAGAATGCGATTGACGGCGCGAGGGAGATGATAGCCAAGTCCAAGCCATACTTGCAACCGAGCGAGGCGATCCAAGAGGCGCAGGAGGATGCCGAGACAGCACGTGCAGATGGATTTATTCCAAAGGATGAAGCCGCAGCGAAGATTGAGGAGGCTGCCAAGGATGGCGAGAAGCGCGCAGCTGACGCGGCCAAGAAAGCTACAGAGGCTACGGAAGAGGATACTTCTGGTCTGGGAATAATCGCTACGGTGCCTGACGATGCCGGAGCCGTGAGAATGAGGAATTCAAGCATACACCTGCCGATGAAGTCGTTTACAGATGTCGAAGCGAAGTCGGAGGCAGAGGCGGAGGCGCTTGCCCGGCAGAACGAGCTCAAGAACATGTTGCGCAACAAAGTGACAAAGATCCCAGTCGACAGCCCGCTCAATATGATCAAAGGCGAAGATGGATACTACAACATGCCAGAGAGCGCAAAGGAGCTGGAGATAACGAAGGGACGGGCGATCTTCCCAGAGAGTGCAAAAGAGTCAATGAAGAACGCCGGTCTGGATACATCCTTGTTACAGCACAAGATTAATACGGGCGAGCGAAAGGATCTTGGAATAGGCCTCGGCTATTACATCGCAGACGTATCAAATATGCACATGGATGTTCCGTCGCCGTCAAGTCCGACGCCCTCAAAGGCACTGATCGGCGAGAAAGGCACGCTCGACACGTCACAGGCAACAGGCATAGACATAGAGGGCGGATCGGTGAAGATGACACCGTGGTCAGAATATTCCAAGAAGGTACGGCCGAAATTGAACCAAGGAATCAGCAAGAGGCCGCGAATGTCGGCCGCCGACGAGAAGATGCTTAAGAAGGCTGCTGAGACACGTGACATGTTGCAAAACACCAAGACAGAGGTCCTCACAAATCCGAACGGCGAGGGCTATGTGAGGATCACGCCGCCGTACGGCGTGTCCGAGCAGGTTGCGGTTGCCGATGCGATCACAAATTTGAACTCGGCGCCCAAGGGCGTCAAAGACACCGGACAAGACGGTGTTGGTCTTCTGCAAGGCACAGACTCAACCGGATTTAATCTTGAGGATGCGCTTGAGGGCTCGGGTTCGATGAACATAGCGGACAAGCCTGATCTTACAGGATCTGTTGAAAACCAAGTAATTGAGAAGAGTCTTGGCAATGCAGCGATGTCCGGAACAGCCAAGGATACGATGACCCCGTTAAATGCGTTTACTGGTCTGGTAGACCTGGAGAAGAAGAGCATCGTAGCACCTGAGGAAGAGCGGCCCAAGCCGTCAAAGGATCAATCGAAGAATGACTTAGTGATGAATGAGCTCAAATACGACACTCCGACGAAGGCAAAGAAGCTCGACATTGGCGAGTCATCATACATATCCGCGGTTAACAAACTGCCACCCGAGCTTATACTCCTCCTCATCAACTACGCAATCAATCCTCACGACTTAGGCCTCAAGGCACAGCGCGAAAAGTATATGTCCACATTGGCATCGCTGATGCCGAACAAAAGCGAGAAGTTTGAGGATCTCATCTATGAGGCGATCAAGAAGCGAATTGGTCTTGCCAATCCGAAGAATCTGTACGTGGCACCCGTCAAAGAGGTCACCAAGATTGTTTATGATAAGTCGCGTCCTAACGCGCCGCCGAAGCTGCAGAAGATATTTGTTGATAAGAACCCTGTGCACAAGGTTGATCCTATGTACGTACCCCAGCACGAAATAATAAACAAGGTGAATGGAAAGGTGCCCGACCTGAGAATGACCGAGGTGGTGAAGAAGGAGCACCCTAAGGTGGTGCAGGTCACTGGTGTGCGAAAGATTGATGCGAATAAGGTGCCTAAGGAGAAGATGGTGCACGCTAAGACAGTAGAAGTTGTGAACACGAAGAAGATGCTCGGAAAGGTTCCTATCCAAATGGCTACCACCAAGATCCAACAGCCGCAGGTCACGACTACACCTAAAGTGACCACTTCAGTCGTAAGAACTGCGCCTGTGAGTAGTCAAATAATCAGGAGAGCAGTACCAACGAACGCTTCATCACCCGCCGTGACAAGATACGAAGCTATTCCTAAAGGTTACAGGGTGGTCCAGCAAACTCCTGTGAATCCCGCTAATGTACAAAAAGTCGTTAATGGCAAATCTAGTTCGACTGTTGCTGGCAAACCTAGTACGACTGTTATTGGCGTTTCCCCAAGCAATAACAGCAACCCAGCGCAGAAATAGTTGAACTGATGATGCAACTGTGTAATGATACATAAATAATTAAATAAATGTTTAAGTAGTATAACAATTGTTATATCACGTGTTATATTATACTATAGTATAATATGTTGCAATGCATAGCACAGTATCATATTTTGGTAGAGTGTTGCATCTCATTGTGCCACAACATCTTACCGCATACCATCTAGTATCCTTTCCAAACCTAAATTCGTCATGCTAATACTGAATAACTCACTTTACTGGTAGTGGTATTACCGATGTAATACGCTAAATCATCAAAATATATATTTTTTATTATTTTCATATCTTTATATAATTAATATCTTTCCTGCTCTAATCACACAAAAATATCCTATAACGTGTTTATATACGGCACATTAACCTGTTATAGCTCAATGTCTGCCATCAAACATAAATTTTTAATTTATCAAGTATGTTTATTTAGCTCACATGCATACACAAATTAATTAATATTTGCCCTAGCCATGTTTAGAACGCTCCATATTTTAAAAAAGTGTGCTGAAATAGCACCACATACACACACTCTTCTTGCGCATTGAGTGCTTACCATGGCCTATACGACACTTTAAACGTGTCTCAGCATTTCTTTTCTTTCGCTACAAGCCGTTCATTGCAGTCTTACGTCCAGACTGAACAAATAAGCACCACTTTCCTGCAAGGCCCATAGATGCGCGAGTGCCAGCATTTAAAGAATAGAACAATAAAAAATGCATAAACACAGAACAATGGACAAGATTCAAGCGCAGATCGATCAGTCAACGCTCAGCGAGCTCAAGAAGTATATCAAATACGAAAAGCGAACAACAAACAACCACTTCCTTGAGAAGTGTCTGTATGAATTGCATCTCAACATAATACAGGCTATGATAATAAAGAAGAAAATGGAAAAGCGAATTATCGTATTAAGGCTAAAAAGGATGGCTGTGTTTGCTGTGACGTGCTTTCTAACAGTTGTTGCTGTGTTTATGATTTGATGAACAAGCAGTGCTGGGCACCGTACGAGTGTTTACTGCGGTTGTTGCGCAGGGCTGTGCCCATGCAAAACATTAAAGTACTGTTCTTCAATTTTACAAAGATTTGGCAAGGAAATGACGTGCAGGAAACGCATACAACAGCCGTGCTGTGCAATCTGATGCAGAATGTCTTGTGTTGTTGATGGTACGCCTTCTACTACGGTATGCATGCTTATGTGCAACTGGTCATCCTCTGCTGATTGCTTAGAATGGCCGGCTCTCCTCGCACTGGACAAAACGCGTACAAAAACACGGGTAAACCGAATACAGCAGCTGTGTTTGGACATTTATCGTAAATGCGACAGGTGGTCGTGTGACAAAGACAAAGTGCCGTGCACTACAAATGCTTTTAACGGCATGGTGGCGGTGAACTAAATCATACGTTTTTTATTGAAGAATGCGTTCACATGCTCCTCTTCGATTGTCTCCATCCTTGCTGGGATGATCAGGGAGTGCAGGGGCCTACCAAAATCAACTGGAAGCAGGTTGCGTATCTCATCGTAGTGCAGGGATTGATCACGGCAACCAAACCTGCAAATAACGAATATCTTGGTCTGCTCAGTTATAACATTGGATTTAACGGTCTCTTCGTACTCTAAAAGCTGCTTCATTGCCGTATTAGCACTCATAAATCGGTTGCTCGCTGATCCATGTTCTTCGTAATAACTTTTGCCAATTTTGATGTCCAACAGGCACAATGTGTGCAGATCGTTCCTGATGTTGCTCAGAATCCGTTCAAAAACGCTCAGCGGTTTAAATCCAGTGGAAAAGAATGGAACCGAAACAACGCGTCCGAAGGAATACGAGTAAAGACCCACATGTCCTATGACGTTGTAAATAGACGTGTTGTTAACAACCTGGTGCTTGACGTTCTTTTCAAGGCATCGTATGAGCAGATCGGTGTGTGTAGTAGCAAATAAGGGAGTGCCAGGGACGAGCAATACCACATCGTGTTGCACACTTTCCTCAACAAGAATGTCCGTATTCTCTAGTAGATGCCTGTCAGCAAGTATTAATGTACACTGATACAACCGTTCCATCTGCTCGATCGTGCTGTTAATAATGCTTGTGTAGCACTCTAAGTACACCTTGTGTGCACGTTTAATTAACTCAAGGGCTTTTAGAGAAATATCGTTCTGATCATCTAGGCCAAGGCCTATCAAGCTTAACATACGATGGGTCAAATATAATTCGTAAGAAAATGGGGAACTGCCTCAAATCGAAGATTGCTAAAGCCGTGAGGATGCTCAGCATGACGGGAGGGCTTGTTCCGTATGCACGTGTAATATGTTCGTCATATAAACGAAAAAGATTTTAGTTATAAAAAGGGTCTTGGTGTAATTACTGGCAATAGCGTGATATGACAGGTTGGTGCGATACATCTCACCATTCGCAACGGTTTGAGTTCAAATGCTTCCCGGTAAACGAAACTTCAGAAGTGTCCACTGAGTTCTTAGGTGTCACACAAAAATCTGCGCTCGTCCAAGGCATGCCCAAGAAATAGAATAGTAACTTGTTGGCGGTGTCGTATGTGAGAAGATGCGGGCCTTCAACATCGTTAAAGATGGTATTTGGTACGGTTTCCATGATGTTTCCGCAGCTGGTGAACCTTGGGTCTGCGAGAGACGAATAAATACGGAGAACCGATCTAAAATACAAGCAATTTGTGGTAAAATCGTGTGCAATATTAGCGCAATAATTCGTTGCAACACGTATGATTGGCAGACGGTGCCTCGTTGTATTGTTACAGGTAGAACGTGAATGCTTGTACGTAGAAACACAAAAAATTACCAGAGTGGCATATTAATACACCTGTAAACCTTCTCGATTGCTTTTTCCTTTTTTGTTAACTCGTTCCTTTTTCTAGAAGACTAAAAAATATAAAAAGAATAAATTGCTGCACTCCCATGTCTACCAATTTTACATCCACGGCACAGAAGGCCTTGGAAAAAACGTTTAGCACAGCAAAGAAATACAAAAATTACCAAATTGAACCGGAACATTTGTTACTCGCTCTGATGGAGTTGGACATACCGGTTGTGGAAAAAAATTTGACGAGGGAAGAGAAGAGCAAGATGAAAAACGAGTTGATTCGGAGAATTGGCGCATTGGCTAGGGGCAACGAGGATACAATGCCCAACCCAAGCCACAAGTTCACGAATTTGCTGCAGGATGCACAGGCGAACAAGCAGGAGGTGAGTGAGGTGGATCTCCTAGGTGCCACGATAAAATACGTCCAGATAGATGGCACCGGTAAGCTTGAGACGGTTGTTAGGGGGGTAAGAGAGAGCAAAACACCTACTTTGGACTCAGTTGCGCTGGAGATGGTACACGAGGCGCGCACCACGTCGATGGATCCGGTGATTGGACGTGTAAAGGAAATACGATCCATAATTGAAATATTGGCAAAGAAGAAGAAAAGCAATCCGATGCTTGTAGGACCGGCCGGTGTGGGTAAGACCGCTATTGTGTGCGGGCTTGCGCAGCTCATATCGAAGAACGAGGCACCCGGTCTCACGAACTATCGCATCTATAACCTAGATGTGGGCAGTATGGTGGCAAATACGGGGGTGCGTGGCGAATTTGAGGAACGCGTGCGCAAGGTGGTCAAGGAGGCCGAGGAGTGCCCGAACATAATCTTGTTCATCGATGAGATACATACTGTGATCAGTGCAGGCTCAACTTCTGGGTCGCTTGACTTCAGTAACATCCTCAAGCCAAGCTTGGCAGCAGGGAAGATAAAAATTATCGGCGCCACTACACATGATGAGTACAGGAAATATATGGAAACTGATGCTGCGTTCTGTAGGCGATTTGTTAAGGTAACGATCAACGAGCCGTCGATTGAGGATAGCATCACAATGCTGCGTGGCCTACGGAACAAAATGGAGCTGCATCATGGTATAAAGATCGAAGATAGTGCGATTGTGTTTTCGGTGAAGATGGCCAAGAAATACATTTCGAACAGGCGGTTGCCCGATATTGCGATCGATCTTGTGGATACAGCATGTGCAAGCGCCACGATCGAGCTGGAGAGTGAGCCACAGGAGATTTTAAACATGAAAAACCGAATTTGGTCGCTCGAACTGGAGAGGGCAGCTATCGAGCGCGACTATAAGATAAAGCGTGATGCCAGTGAAAAGGACGAAAGGGATAGTGCTGCCAGGACTGACGAGGATAGGATGAAGAGCTACAGCAAAGAAACAAAGGAGAGACTGAACGAGGTGATGGCGAAGATCGAGGAAGCTAGAAGGAGCTTAGTGCCCCTTGAGGAAACATATGAAAAGGAGAGGGCGTCGGTCTCTGAAGCAAAGGCGCTCAAGACCAAGATTGACCAGATTTACAGCAAAATTGAGGAAGCGCGACGGAGAAACGATACGTATCAGGTGCTAGATCTGCAGACAGAGGTGCTGCCTGTCATTGAAAGAAAGCTAAAGGAGATTGAGGGCTCAATCCTCATTACATCGGCGCACATAGCAACCGTAATTAGCAGATGGACAGGCATTCCGGTAAGGAGGCTCACGTTGAAAGAAAATGAGCGGTTGCTTGGTATGGCAGACAGAATAAAGCACCATGTGTTTGGACAAGACACAGCCGTTGACCGAGTGGTCCAGTGCATTCTCAGGAACCGTGTGGGGCTGAGTGAGTCAGACAGGCCTATCGGTGCATTTCTGTTTCTTGGACCATCAGGCGTAGGAAAGACTGAGCTGGCCAAAGCGATCGCGTTCGAGCTGTTTGACGATGCGAAGAGCATGGTGGTCCTCGACATGTCGGACTATGCGAATGAGATAAGCATAACGAAGCTGCTGGGCGTGAGCGCTGGGTATGTGGGATACGCCGAAGGCGGTGCGCTCACCGAGCCGGTAAAAGAGAAGCCGTACAATGTGGTTCTCTTCGACGAGCTTGATCTGGCACACCCCAAGGTGGTGAACGTGCTGTATCAGCTGCTGGACGAGGGTCGGGTAACCGATGGAAAGCGAAACGTGATTGATTTTACGAACACGGTTATCGTCATGACGAGCAATCTTGGGTACGAGAAGATTCTTACAGGGGTGTACGACACGGATGAAATCGAGAGAGGGTTGAACGAGCGGTTTGGTCCTGCACTGATTAACAGGATAGATGGCATTTGCTACTTCAATGCGCTATCAATGGTTGATCTGCGTTCCATCCTTGACTACAAGTTGGCAACACTCAACAAGGAACTGAACGAGAAGAAAATCTACCTGTACCTGAGCAATGCGGTCAAGCAAGATGTTATCAACAGGAACTATAAGCCTGTTTACGGTGCGCGCCCGCTCAAGCGAGCACTTAGGAGCACCTTTATGGATGCTATTGCCCATATCATGCTCACGAATAGCAAGATGATTGAGAGGGCTGAAAAGGTGCTGATCAACAGCTTTACGCAGGATGAGGGACTTGAAGGGCTGCAGATAGGTGATTACGTGTACGTGGTGCAATACGAGTAAAGTGTTTGTTTCAATCTGCTGTGCCGTTTTCATCTGTTGATGGAGCAGGCAGTCTTTTCCTACAAACACGGACAGGTATCGGCCGAAGGTGGCAGTGCTTGCTCCTAGTTTTATTACCTTAAAAGATTGTCCTCCTACACCAGTACTGAATTTGTCCTCTTTAGGCAGCACCTTTACACATTTTTATGGAGATGAAAATTGACTTTTTTGTGAAACGGTGTTGTGAGAGGTAACAGAAATATTGGGTAAATTTGGTGTGCTGTTCAGGTTTTGTAATATGGAGAGATAAATAAAAGTACTTTTAGCGAAAAGGTATCTGCTCCAAGGGACGAACAGATCATTCAAATATTGCTTCTTTTAAAAATGGGAATAGCACAGTTAATCAAATTAAAGTGGTACAAGGATTAAATAAAAGTTGCTTTCGGTAAACAACAACTCATTAAAACGTAGCGTTGCCGTACAACGAACTTGTATACGGTATTTTCATGGATTGAGTTTCCCTAAAGACCTAATATTGAACTGACTTTGCCTACTACCACGCTCGCTATGGATATGGCTAGTAGCGGTTTCATTTGAGATAGGTGAAAACTGCTCGTAAAGCTAGCAAACTCGACAATAAGAACCGGTTGGAATGTATTACAAGATACAACTGGTTGTTGAGCGGATATGTCATTTAATTTTGGCAGTAAGAGCAGGAAATTTTGAACCTTTATTAACACAATGAAGAGAAATATCGTGCCAAGCACAAGAATGTACTTTTTGCTGAGGTATATGCACCAAGGCAGAACATCTTATTTATTTTACTCCTTGTTCTGCCCACAAAACGTATAGTAAATCTCTATTGACTGGCCAATCTGCGTATGATCACTTCGGAACAGCACATTTGAAGCTGCTTGCAAAATACTACACATTAATGTAAAGTATAAGATCTTCTTACAAATTCGGTTCTGTGTAAACAAATGCAGTATCCGTGTATGCTAGATTTATACCTTGGCTTTTCTATATTTTTTGACGGTTCCAACAGCCCTTAGAAATGACAGAGAAATTGCAAAGCACAGCGGTGGAAATTGATGAAATATGTGAGCAGCACATGGACAGAGAAATAGAGGTGTGTGGATTTCTAGAGAGCATGAAAAATTTTCCCAAGTTTGGTTTTCTAACTCTGCGTGCCGGCATGTCCAGAGTGCAATGCGTATTCAATTTGGGTGAAAAGATTGATGAAAATTACTTTACGGTGATTTGTGGAGTGCCGTTGGAGTCGTATGTCAGGGTAAAGGGTGTGCTTAAGAGGGCGCACAAGCCTGTCAAGAGCTGCTCGGTGTGTGATTACGAGCTGGGCATGTCTGAGTTAAGCCTGTTGTCAGCTGCCGACAGCCTTCCGTTCGATCTGAAAGACATCAATGTGTACAAGAAGGGCGTACCTAGCGTCTCGTTCAACAAGCGCCTGGATCACAGAGTCCTGGATTTGAGAGGCACCATGTCGCAGAGCATTTTTAGGATAATTGATCAAATTATGTACGCGTTCAGAACATTTCTCAGAAAGGAAAAGTTTATTGAGATTACGACACCTAAGCTTTTGGGCTCGGCGTCGGAGGGCGGTGCCAACCTGTTCGAGGTCAATTTTTTCAAGAAGAAGGCATATCTTGCACAGAGTCCCCAGTTGTACAAGCAGATGGCCATTATAGGTAATATGCGCAAGGTGTACGAGATTGGACACGTGTACAGAGCCGAGGAAAGCAACATAAACCGATATTTGAGCGAATTCATTGGGTTGGATTTGGAGATGGAAAGCACCGATTATTTGAAAACGATAAAACTGATATACAGAATGTTCTGTGCGATCATTAGGGATGTGTACGAGAACAACAAGCAGGATGTTGAGAATTTGAAGAAGTACAACGATTTCAATGACGTGCGTTTTGAAGACGAGCCGCTGATACTTTCACACAGAGAGTGTGTAGATATTCTGAGAGAGCACGGAGAGGAGATCAAGTATGAGGACGATTTCAGCCGATTCATGGAAAAGAGATTAGGAGAGATAATAGCAGAAGAAAGGAAGATTGATTTCTTCGTGGTTAAAGACTATCCAACACGAAACAGGCCGTTCTACACCGCGCCATGTGACGATCCATTCTACTCTAAATCGTACGATTTTATTCTCCGGGGTGAGGAAATTCTCAGTGGTGCCCAGCGAATTAACTGTTATCAGCAGCTGCGCCAGTCTGCCAGTGATAATGGAATTGATCCGGTGAGTATTGAGGGATACCTAAATGCATTCAAGTATGGAGCACCACCACATGCGGGGTGTGGCATTGGACTTGAAAGGTTTGCGAAGGCTTTGTTCGGATTTAGCGATATAAGATGTTTTAGCATTTTCCCCAGGGATCCGAATAGGCTTTACCCGTAATTAAAAAGGTTTTAAGTTGGCAGCTGCTTTGTTTATTTGACGGTGTTTGCTCATGTACGTGTTTATAAAGGTTTGATCTGTGTTTGTGCGTGTACGTTCGAGTGTGGTAAGCACGGAGCAATGAAAGAAAATTATGTGCAACCATACGAGTAAAGACGGGTGTTCTTTTTGAAATAGTGATAACCGGCTGACAAGGCGGTCCTTGACAAGTAATTACGCAATTATACCATGTTCTGTTCAAGAATAATTTGATAGGAGTACTAACGATGGACTGGAGCAGACATGTGTGGTGATAGCTAAATTACCTTTAAAAATGGGAGTAAACGTAGCATGGCGTGGTGTCAACAGAATAATTCATTACCTAGTGATTTAAACGTAGCGGTGTGTTTGCATGGTGTTATTGGTAACGCATACTCTGTCACTGCCATTTACTGATAGCAAAGTTTTTATTTTTTATTGCCAGATTGGTAGAACAGTGACCACGCCCATTCGGCTCTTTCAGAAGGCGAGTGCAGCGAAGCGGTGCTTAACCATGTCTTTCTTCAAATGCTTGATATTAAAAGGTTCTTCGATAGTGTGTATTGAGTTACGGTCCGTAATGTACTTAGAAGAACCGATTTGTTTCCTTTTCAGAGTGAACATGCGATTCCATTCACAAAACTTATCAAATAATTTCAAATCAGCGGAGAGCAGCCGGCAAGAAACGAAAATTTTCGTTTTATTTATTTACACGGTTTCACATTCCGGCAAAAATATTTATTTGATCAGAGTGTAATCAGAACAACTTGAATGACCTTACAACGGCAAGAATTCCTTTTTTGTAAATTTACTAGATCGTCGTTTGACGTACGATTTTGATTTGTTCTATAAAACTGAAATTTTTGACATATCTTTGATAACCACAAAATTAATTGAGGATGGCATCTCGGCATGGTGTTTTGAATCATCACAAGATGAATGAGGCAAATAAAACTGGGCATGGATGTATACTTAGAGTAAACAGCGTTTTACCGGTACCACAATGACCTGTGCCGTGCCTGCACACTCCGTAGCATTGCTAAACACGTGATACCATGTATAACGCTGCTTTTCTTGGTCTTGTCAGTAAAAATATCCAAAAACAGTTTCAAACAAGTCCTTTAATCCATAAAACTGGATTCAACCGTATTGAACCTCGTTCTGCCTAAAAATATCCAAAATATTTTCCAACTCTTTCATGTTAAACCGCTCCTCCATGTCCTCAATGACTATCTGCAAATCCAGAAGGCTTTTCGGCCACATATCCAACAGCTGGCAGATTTCTAGAGGATATAAATTCATCTTTTTTAGCTTCAGCCTTGTTTTGTAAATTACATCTGTAGGCATGCAATCCTTGCACAGCTCCTTGACAGCGAAAGCCATTGTCTTTTCCTCTTCAGTTAGCATCGTTTCGTTGTTCATAAAGTGAAGTATTTGTGATTTTGGAATGCATTTCTTTTTGGTGCATTTCACTTTCATGAGGGATTAATCGGCTGATTGTATAAAAACCATGATGTAAAGGCTGTTTTAATGTTTGACAAGATGAATGGCCTGCGAAGAGAAATATCGTGTGAGATGGAAGTAAAGGGCGAACAAAACGATTGAATGACTGTTTTGCTGATTAGGCTGAAAGGCGAATAAAATGGTAATTTGTATGTTTTGGATGAAACGGTGTATATGATCGGCAATACCGCATGACATCGCTTACGAAGAGGATACGTATGATCGGCTGCATGTGCGTGCGCTTGGCCGTATAAATATGCAACGAGTGAATTTGTGATACATTGTATGACACGTAATACTCGGATAGAGCTTCAAAATGTCACCCTGAAAAGAACAAAATCAGCCGTGAAAGCATTGCAGTTCGAGACACTCTGCACTTCATTATCTTATACGTTGATTAGGAGGTGTTAATTAATTAGCGAATATAACATACGAATTTTACGAATACCTGAGAAGCAAAGAATGCCCTCGGCTCGATGCGAATTTTTGGGGTTATTGGCACGGTAACAATGAGAAAAGTGCAGTATTAAATGAATGAATACGGCGCTAAGGCATCACTCCCAGTGACAGAACGTTTCGAGGATCTGTGAACAGAACATGGCTAGAGTAAGATAAAAAGGAGTGAATTGTAAATAAACATTAAAAGTGAGTTGATGAGCACATACGTGTGCTAAAATTATTGTATTGTTGTTATGTCCTGAACATCTATCAATGCTTCAACCTATGAATAACACGCAATTATTGCCCGCTCCTCTTGTCATCAGCATAAACATGGATGAACAGAAACATCCGTTAAATTTGAAGTATACCTGCAATATTTGATGTTGCTTGTATTCGGGATAAGGCTAAGAGCACGGTACAATACTTGACGTTGCGACACGTTTAATATTTCATGAATGGTTTCAAGGGTTCACAAACAAAAGCGTGATACTCCCTTGTGTTCCACGGAATACACAGTTTTACCTAATACGTATTTTAAAAAATTTAATCTTCATCAATTCTGGTGATTATTCCCAAAAAACAGTTTATTACCATAATTTTTACTTTTTTGTACGTTGTTTGTGCAAAGCAATAGAAACATTGCGAAAAGATAGTCGGAGCAAAGCCAAGAAATGAAATTGGACAGTACTGGGGTATGAGCGATAATGATGCATAATCGTGTAGGTAATGGCAAGAGTATGCGTTACTGTTCCACGATAGGCAGCTGTTACCATGCTTGCCTATCAAACAATTCTGTAAATAATGAAAGATCATGGCACAAGCACTTTGAAAAGACCATTTGAACTGTTCGATAAGTTTAAAATCAATTATTTGATATTAGCATTGATATGCTTATTTCAGCACATATGGAAAATAGAAGGTAATTCTGGAATGGAAAGCAAGATTTGTTCCAACATGTCCATTAACATGCATTTTAACGCCTCTGTATTCCTACGTATGCACCCGTGTGTATCGGTTTGTAGCCAAGGAACTACCGGAACACCACAATGCTGCGGTAATAATACAATCGCGCAGACGCATGCTGTCACAGATACGCACCTCATTTTGATCGGTATATCACACCGGTCCAAGTAAAGGTTATTATTCCTGATCCAACCAAATTATTAATTTGTGTGCAATACGACTTGTTGTGCACTATTATAGCGCATAAGGTTCAAATAGCCATTTAATTTTGCCATAAATATTCAAATTGCCTTATTTTTCCCTTTAACACAGAGGAAAACATTTAAAAGGTTGAAAATTTGTCTTTACAATGGGTGACAAAGACGGTGAAGACAAAGAGAAAAAAGAGTTGGTATTCAACGATTATGAGCTGTTTACGATGGACTTCATCAGCAAGATGGCAATGCTATGCCTTGCTGTGCTGGTGTGCATAGCTGTTGCCATCGTAAACCTGGTAACATGTGCACAGAGCAACGATATAAAGAACATCACATTCACGTGCAACCAGTGCTTCGTCGTGTTGGGTGTAATTACGGCGATAGCCCTGTGTGTGATGCTTGTCGCTCCCGTGATCTACCAATCATTGATCTACATCTTTGAGGGCGTGCCGGACAAAAAACTGAAAATGAAAAGAAGCGTGAATCAAATGGCACTTGGGCTGTTTCTGTTCACAGCGGTCCTTCTCATGATACTTGTACCTGCCGCGTTCTACCAAGACTTCCTCAAAGGACGGGTGTTCATATTTTTTATGCTCACGCTGCTGATCGATTTAGTGCTCGTGCACTATTCAATGATTACGAAGAACAACAATTCGTTCAAGGTCTTTATTGCCATAAGCACGGTCGCCGGCATAGCATTTGCCATATCGGCCCAGTCATTGATGGGTTTCTCGATGATGGCGCTCCTAGCCACTATTTTTGTCAAGATTGCCATTATAGAAAGCACTTATTTCGTTAGACAGCTCAGAACCACAGAAGACGGCAGAAAAAAGAACGTGAACGTCCTCAATTTTATTATGGTACTTGCGGTGTACAGCGTGCTGTTCTATTTTGTGTTCAAGGATGATATCATAGCATACATAAATGGTGTTAACGGCAACCTGGCAAATTATCTATACGGATTTCTGCACAAGTTTGTGATAGAAAATCCGTTTGGTGTTGCCAAGATGATGAGCGGCGGTAAATAAAGTAATTTTTGGAACAAAGTGCGAGTTCTTTTGGTTTAATGCTCAGTATTGTGGTTATAACGGTTGCATCTGTGTTCTGCATCAAAGCATTGAATTGACCCCGTTGCAGAACGATGTTCTATTCATTGTTAACACCGTAGGCCCGTAATTTCGGCAGAAATACCCCTTTCTGCTTCCTGAACCGCTTCTTTTCCATGCCATTCATTCTACGGAAACAATTCTCTCTGTAAACAGGTACGTATTTTACGATGGATGCTGCAACATAGTTGGTGAACCTTCAAATATTAAAATAGCGCACTACACAGCAGAAGATAAACGTTATTACAGAAAGGTGGGGTATTTAGCGTTTGTACAGGAGAATTATTGTTCAAACCAAATATTCCTCATTTCAAACGTATAAAAGCGTATTTGGTACAAGCACACACAGCACTGATCGATCCAAACAATAGTTCTGTTGAATTATTGTTTTTGCCGTATTGTGCGTTAGTAAGTGCGTAGTGCTGTTTACCGCTCAAGGTTTCTCCTCAAAATAATTCCTGTCTAATAATATACGATTCTTTGGCTTTGACCAGCCATTCCAAATCACTTCTTGATGATTAATCTGAACTTTAATGTTGTCAATCATGTCTTTCGTTAGTACTTGGAGTGAATTTCGTTCGCATATCACATCCTCATTTTCCTACCCCTGAGGATGTCGATATCATCATTTTTCATAATCAGTAAATCAGGCGGAATGATTTACAAATTTTTGAAACAGGATGAAAAGAACATGAAAAAGCGCGTAATGTCCAAGAGTAGTCCAAACAGAAATGATAAAACAACAAAGGACGGACCTAACATGGATGAGAATGATGGTGTGAATGCAATAAATACCGCCAATGATGCAAACTGCGTTTATAAGACCGATGGGAACAAGGACGGGCAAGGAGCTACGAGTAATACGGTGAATTCTAGTGGCCACACAGAGCGTATCGGCAGTCAGATCGTGCTCGCCCATCTGCAAACTACCAACCTTAACGATCTCCTGGTCCTTAACAGCACTCTGCACACGATCCATCAGATGGCCACAACAATCTACGGCCAATCACAGAAGTTTTACATATATTTGCACGGTCTCACTCTTTCTATGTTTAGGACAATGACAGGCTATACCTTTGTATTTATAGGTGATGAGAAGGCAGGTGATAAACTGGTAGATAGTGTTTACAGGGAGTTTAATCTGTACGTGCTGAGGAATCCGGCGTACATGGATGACATGCCCATCAATTTATGCACCTTTAAGCCTTACAAATACTTTTGAGGTGTTGTGGCATAAAAGTTGTAGGAATGGGGCTTTGAGCTAGCGCAGAATTACAATATGGAATGAAGTTTTTGGTCTTTTTACAGCAAAAAAGTGTTTTAACGTGATGTATGAGTGAGCATGTCACGAGCAGTTCGTATAATAAAATATTTGCATATTTTACCTTTTCAGAGCTAAGCATTTCGTAGTTCTGTCATTAATGAACCGAAATTCATCGCTCAAATTTAATTTAGCTTTCACCAGGAGGTTCTATCTTAATTTATTGGGTATATGTGACGTGCCTAGTGCACGGAAGTGTGCTCACTTGACCTAGTTCAAAAAACAGCTTGTTCTGCGGTCTTCTTCCGCAAAAATGTGTTTAAGCACGAAATGTGTGAGGGTCTCTCTCCCTTCTGTCCAAGATTTCACCATTCTATATTTTGATCGCATGATAAGTTCATTAACCGCGCTGTCAGGGGTGTTCAACTCTCAACCACATACAACGTAAATATTTAAATGATGTATACCAAGATTGTTACCTCATAATGCCACATTAAATGGAATGATCTTCTTAAACAACAGTATTCTTAGTAATTATGGATAGTAAACTATTGGTGAACTGTCACAAACCATGGTTAATTTCTTATCTTCGCGATCAAAGCATGCTTAGCCTTTCATGTCATTTCTCAGATTTTTCCGTTCAAGCGGAAGAAACCTTTCGCTTCATTTCCGATTTTTTTGGGTTAAATACGCTTGTACGATATTTTTTGGGATGAAGAAGGAACTGAGCCTTGATCAGCATTGAAATACATTTCTGCTGTTGCATCGTATGATGATTTGCAAGCAGAATGCACGTTGATCAGGCGGTATCACGAGAATAGTAAAAAAGTGCTACGTGTTAGATCGGATACGGTTACTTCCATTGCTGTGCACCATCATTTCACCCGAAACCGTTTATTTATCCTGCGCCAACCGGTATTTCCTCGTTTACCGCGTATTTTCCGATTAATCGTTTCATTTTGTGTGCCCTTCCCATGGGTATAAAAGGCCTTCTCCCCATTGTTTCGCCCTGTCTGAAAAAGCGGCACATCTCAGCATTCAAAAACCATAGGATAGGAATCGATGGCCACTCATGGCTGCACTGCATACTTCCCTCGATCGCGCTGCAGCTGTACAACAACGTAAGGACGCACCTGCACCATGACATATTCCTGAAGAGAATACAGGGCGTGCGCAAGCATGGCGTAATACCTGTAGTTGTGTTTGATGGGGACAGTTTGCCGTCCAAATGCGTTATTAACGAGCGCAGAAGGACCAAGAGAGAAGAGGCGAGGAGAATGGCAGAGATAGAAATGAGCAAAGGCAACGTAAGGGATGCCATGCGTTACATGGCAGGGTCGATCAGTATCAGCAGAGAAATGGTGGCAGAGATTGCTCAGTTCTTAAAGCAAAATGACGTGGAGGTGATCATATCGCCGTACGAATCGGATGCACAGCTTTCGTACCTGCAGAGAATAAATTACATACACTCCATAATGACAGAGGACAGCGATCTGATCGTGTATAACTGCAATAACATCCTGTACAAGTACGCGAATAACCACGTGATGCACTACGAAAGAAGCGTGTTCAGGGAAAAAAATGACTTTCTGTGCGATAATTTGCTTGATGTGTGCATTCTGAGTGGCTGTGATTACCTGGAGAATGTGAAGGGCGTGGGCATCAACTCGGCAATAAAGCTGATGAAGAAGCTACGCAGTGTTGAACTGGTGGTGAACGAAATGAGGAGAACAAAAAGCGTTCCTGAAAGCTACCTCAGCAATTTTATTAAGGCAAGGCTTACCTTCAAGTACCAGGTTGTGTATGACCCTGTGAAAAATGAGCGTGTGTACCTGGACGGATCAAGTAACAGCAGGAATTATGAATTCCTGGGATGCATCAGTGCAAAGATCGGTCAGGCTGTGTGTGCGAAACAGGAATACCTTAGCTACACTGCGGCCACTTCTCATGATGAGCAGGCCGTTAAACGTGAATTTATTGGTGGCGGAGTTGATCTAAAAATTGCTCACAGAGAGAACGCGAGAGAATGTGCTGTCTATGAAGTAAATGGCCGTGTTAACGGTAGAAGTACCGTTACGTGTGTGGAAACAAGTACGGTTGCTCATCACATCAAGGACAGCAGCACGATACAGGTGTGCATAAGTCCCAAGAAACACGCAGCAAAGAATTACCGGAACAAAATGATAGAAAGAATGGCGGAAAGAAAGGAAAATAAATGAAAGTGCACTTTAACTAATAATTACAGAACGTGGCACGCTAACATTTACTTTACCACTCATCTAATTTATAATCCTTAATCGTGAATATGACCTGATCCTCTCTTCCGTCCTCAGTCTTGACGAGACTGTCTATTCTGACGATGCTGTACGGCTGTTCATCCATTCTCATGTCATTTTCCCCTATCCTAATTTTCTTGTACAGCATTTTTTTGCCTCTCTGTCCTATCTCGTTCGTCAGTATTGTGTTGATAAAGTCAACCCTTACCGTTTCCTCTTCTCCATTTTCCGTGTTCTCTGTGGTAAAAAGCGTGTAACTTGTGCTGAGAGCTGATCTATGCCTCTTTAACAACCTGATACATTTCATATTCTTCCTTTTCGGTGCATATTCCCTGGCTTTTTGGTTGGTGAGCGGTTTCGATGCTGTCTTGTGTATAAGCAATGAATCTGCTTGTGCACACTTCGTCACTTCAATCAGACCTTTCACCCAATTTTTTCCTACCTGGTCATTCTTAATTAGCTCATCGCTCTCGTTGCGCAACTGTGTCTTTCGTTCATATTGTCGCATATTTCTACTCGTTTGCTCCTCCTGGGCATTTTTTCCAATTTCTTCTCTCAAATTGCCACACACCGTATCGTTTGTCTGTTTAGATTCGCTTTTCTTCTCTGCTGTGCTCAATGCTTCTGTCATTTTTCCGACAGACTGGCATACGCCGCCCAATTTACTACCCACTCCATCCGTGCCAGCACAAGATGCTCCAAACTTACCAGCATCACAAAACGATCCTCCCGTTTTACCAGTCACCTCTTTTTCCAACTCATTACCAACTCCTTCCACTAGCATCTTGTCTTCATCGCATCTCTCCGTATTTTCTTCGCCATTTCCAGTGCTTGTACGACTTCTTTCCACCTCTGCTCCTTTCTCATACATCTTCTCCGGCAAAGCATCAACTAAGTAGAACAAATTATCACCAATTAATATTTTGTGCTTTCTCTCTTCTTGCCGCACACTTTTCTCCTCTACTTTTTTACGCTCATCCTCGTTATAATAATTGCTCAGCATCTCATCCATCCTCCACTCCATCTCATATTCTCTCATCTTGCACGCTTCTTCCTCATCCCTTAATTCTTCATCATCCCTTAACTCTTCATCATCCCTTAACTCCTCTTCACAAGAAGCTTTTGCAATTCTCCACTTGCAATCTTTTTCATTCACTCTGTCTCCACGATCAGCTTCAACACGGCCGTTACTATCTCTCTGTGCCACTTTACCCTCACACATATTTACATGTACTCTCTCCCAGCACTCGTCTCCCATACTCTCACCCACTTCATCACCCATTCTTTTTGTTTGATCTCCTCCTTTCATGCCATTCCTTCCTTTATTTACCATCAGTGCACAGTCATTCACTTTGTTTAAATCGGAGTAATTCGTTCCTATCAATTCGCTCGTTTTGGTGATGTTTGACACATTCACAGAGAAATTCCTAGGATGCTTCGTTATTTTCAGCGGCACCTCCACCTGAGCATGCTCATTCACCGACACTCCACATTTTTGCACCAATAAGGCGTTTCCTACGTTGTATACGGCACATTCACCTCCAACCGCTTCCTTGTTCACACCATCTACATCATTAATCTGCTTATACGACGCATTATCAGCGGCACTCTGCACGCTTTCCCCTATGTAATGCATCTGCTCATACATTTTCTGACAATTTTCATCTTTTACATCCTCTGCTCTCTTTTGCTGTTCGTCTGCATCACATTCAAACGTAAAAATATTTTTGGCGTTCATCGACAGGTTCAAGTCCAACTGCGATAAAATATGACCGGAACTTCTCAAAGATGAGCCGTTGCAACCATTTTCTGTGACTAACGCATCCGTAGTGTGCACTGCTCTGTGCGCTGGCACATCTAAACCTCCTTTGTTCACGTGAACGCCTCTCTGCTCGCTCATAATATTTTCGTATTTTGCCGATGCGCCATCTTCCCATTTTACTACCGCCACGTCTGCCATGAACCGCTTAATTCCTGCACATGGTTCTTCACCAACAAACGTAAAACTGCTATCGGCAAAGTTTGGTGAGTGGATGCTTCTCAGTCGTAGACAATCAAAATGTTCCAAATCATTCGCGCATTTTGGTTCTTCAACTGCGGTGTTCTCTTCATTCTTAGCCGTGCTAACATTCCCACCGCTTTGATCGGCTGGGCTGGTCGCAGCGGTGAAAATAGTTGGATCGGTAAAATTGGCAAGATCGATAAAACCGGCTCTGTCGGTAAAACCGTCCAGACAAGCAACATTGTCCGTTTCGATGCGACAAAATGAACCATCAAAATTGGTTTTATCCGTGGTATTGCCTTGAAGACTAAAACCTACACATTCCGGTCTTTCCGTGTTTTTCTCCTCTGCCAACGCAACAGTTGCATTATAGCTTTGATCGATCACGGTGTTTTTTTCATCGTCTTCTGCGGTTGTTCCCGGTACATTTTCTTTATTTTCTTTATTTGCCATGTTTGGGATGGTAGCGGGTACAAGAGAATCAATGATCGTCTCATCGGTGCCTTTTTCAATCTCTTCGGTATCTCTGCCCTCAGGCAATACCACTTCTTCAAGCGAACCTGTCTTTACCTTTGATCCATGGAAGGAATCCTTCTTCTGATTATATAACCTGGTATTTTGGCCAGCACCGTCTCCTTCAATCGCAACTCTCAGTTCGGAGCAGTTAATCATGGTGCCTGTGCTTTCCACGCCACTGCCTTTGATAGCATTTCCGCCCAATGCCTCATCGATCAAATCAACAGCACGGATATCATCATTTGTTACGGAACTCGTAACGTGCATTATCCCCATCAAGTCATGAGCCCCATCTTCGTCCTTTCCCATCACAAATAATTCGTTGCTTCTCCTCCGTTCGCCACCCAATTTTTTGGCATCTTCGTCCTTTCCCATCACAAATAATTCATTGCTTCTCATCAGCTGTTCGACATATTCTCTCTGTCCATCATTCAAGCCGCCAAGCTCGGTACACCACCGCGTGCACACCACATCACCATATCGCATCCTATCAAACACTCTCATAAAGGTGTATTCTTTGATGCTACTCATCATATTAACATCGCTAGGATTACCCACAACCTCTGATTCGTTCCCCTCGTACTCAAAAAGATCCACCCTCATTATAAACTTTTTCCGGCTGGTGCAGAACAAAAAGGCGTACCTCCTGATCTGCACAAAACATCCTTTTATATCGGCAAAGGCGTGATCAAATGACTGGTGATACGCATCCACAGCATTCTGTGTCAGCACAGCGATCACGGTGTTATGCTTATCGCTCAGGACCACTTCTATGTCTTTGTATGGCTTTTCGTACAGTACTACGAGCAGCTGAGCATGGTTGTAGGCGGTGCTCCTTTTCTCGCCTGTTGCGAGCTGCGTGAACAGCGAATTGAATATCCAATTCTCCTTTAGAACGGATGACATTGGGGGGAACAAAAGAATATTTGGTAATAATGGTGGAGAGGTGTGGCAGGGTGAGAACGTAAATTGGTTATGGTAGAGAATAATGAACCGTAGTGGATGAGAATGCAAGCAAATATTGGTACGGTGTGGTGGGCCGTACCGTGTGTAAAAATAAATGGCGATATTGCAGGCGAAACATGTTGTGTGTATTTAACGATGAGTTGAACGTGATTTCCCAGCATATTGAATTAATTGTAGGTGTAATTTGATTGGCAGGGTACTTTGAGGTATTAACACCTTCTTATTGCAATTGCTAATTATCTGCCCTTCCTTGTCAGCATCAAATAAAGTGCCCGCCTGAGCAACGGCAATACGTAAATGAGCAACAAATTGCGGTATTGATTTCGTTACTTGTCGAATGAATACCATATGCGAGCTTAACAAGAATTATTCCAACAAACTACGTGTAACCTGACCGTTCAGGTATTATGACCAAATTGCAGTAAATTAGCCTAATTGGGATGAACGAGCGTATTTTTGTTGAAATTTGGTCAGATTGAACAATTCATCTTGAACAGTGCAATCGTTTGGATGCTGCCGATGCGTGATGTAAATAAACTACCATAGAAAGAACCGAGCAATTTACATTTATTCACCGTATTTTATACGATTCAAGCTCAGTCTGTATGGTAACAGCTATACATTGGATCGTGAATTAAAGCATTCGTGTTGAAAGTGCTCGTATCGTTGCAAACACCGTTTTACCGGTGATGCCGTTCACTTGCCTGACTTATCAGAGTCACTCCACCAGACAAAAACCGCTCCTCATGTGCAATCTCATTGCTACTGTGGAAAGATGATTTATTTAATGTTGACACGGGAGCGCTACCTAATGATAACAATGTGATTTAAAATCAGAATCGTACCAAATATCTCGTATATTCATACTCACTCCACCTATTACTCTCCATACCTCTTCCTCACAAGTCATCCAAAGTTAACTTCTTTTCATTCTCTCGCTTATTAAATGACTTAAACATGCTCATCTTCGTGGCTGTCTCTTCATTACTGTCCGTTGCTTGCTCCTTTTTCCTGTTTGCTTCCCTTTCCCTGGTCCTTTTTGGCTGTTTGATGCTGCTACTCTCGCAAACACCGTGCTCCGTTGCATCAACCGTGTTACTCGTAGGGTCCAAGGAGTTGTTCTGGGAAGTTTTTGCAATACCATCGGATATTGTCGTACTTTTGACCGTGTTCTTGGCCGGTGAGGCTATCGTATGATCAGCATTCTTCTTTTCGCTTTTGGTTGGAGGCGGAACGTTGTTCCTAGCCCTCCCTCGTATGAGTTCATTGGATCGATTCTGAACGTTTTCTTTACGTTCGCTCACATGTTCATCGCGAACCTTTGCTGATACAGCAGCAGTACTACCAGCTGATGTAAATTTTGCTGCTATGCTCTTACTTTTCGTATTCTTCTTCTTAGTTCTCTCCTGTTCCTCAATCTTAATCTCTGAAAGGCTTTTAACCGGCCTTTCTTCTGATTTATTCTTACTGCCCTCCTTGCTATTTTCGCCATCTGTGCAGCTATAGCACACAATTATCTCGTTGTCATCAAGAATGTTGCCCAATTTATCATTGTCAAGCAGTTCAAAGTCATCCTGATCAGTAATGCGTGCTATGTTATTTCTTTTCTTAAGCATTTGAATCGTTGTCTCTGGCTCAACGTGTATTTTTATCCTTTTCGTATTTTCTTGCGTTTTGTAAATCAGCCGTAACTTCATGGGGGTACAAATCAAGCGAAAAAAATAACACGGGAACTGCCACAGCACAGCTCCATAAAATGTACTAATAAGGGCTAAAATCATCGACCCATAGCATCGGATAATATTCCTGCCAACTCACCACCCAATAATTTTACTCAACACAAAATTTACGGTCAATTATAGCCATGTCTTCTCTTGTATTCATCTCGTCCCCTGTAATCATCTCTGCCCTTTACCACTCGTCTTCTTTCTGTGCTCGGACTGATCTCACCCGCCTCTTTGCAGTCATCCTTGTACTCTTCCTTCAGACTCCTCTGCTTTGCGCAGTACAGCTTCCATGTGTGCTCATCAAAGCCGTAATTAAAATAGTCCGTTATATCGGCACCGGGCCTTCTCCATGGCTTGTCCTCTATTGTGTCGATCTCGAATTCGAATAGATTTTTGCCCGCTATGGTTGGCATTTCTGGAATTGCAGACACTTCTTTCTTGGATTGCTCGGCTATCACTTCCAACTGGGTAGAGCTCTCACTTGACTGGTCATCTAGGTTTACGTCGTACAAAACATCATCATTCATAATTTACAGGGGGTGAATGAATGAGAAGAACAAAATGCTCAAGAATTGAACGAATGTAAGCACAAGAGCATGTTTAAACCATACTAACCAATTAAACTATCTCAAAAATATTAATGGCACTACTTCAAGCATATTTTACTATCAATACATACTTACAAATCAACCATATATTTAATAAGGTAGCTCCACTAACGTATTGCCTGGTTCTATTGAAGTCGTGAACGTGTTTGCTAAACCATAATTTGCAGTCATCTGTTAGTAATACGAATACCATTGCTGTTGTACATCGTTTGCAATCTTTTTTTGTTAAAAGCATGTTTAGTTGCTCCAACACCACCTTCACACCCCACATCGTTGGTGGCAGCTTCCTCGGCTAGAAAGAAAAATCCATACACCTGCTGCCACATCTGTTTTGACTGCAAGGCCCTTTCTTTTGTGGTGCGATGCCTGATATTGCAATACGTGACCGATATTGCCAAGCTCTTATGTTAAAATGAATGATTGATCTGCGTAGCGAACCGTTTTTTCTGTGCACTTCGCCGTGATATTTTTTGTAATTCCTCTCACGTGTAAAATTTATCTGTCGGATCGAAAATTTATCTATTGGATCGAAAATTAATCTGTTGGATCGAAAATTTATCTCTTGGATCGAAAATCTCGCTGTATGAACCCCTCAAACGATTTTGCACCTCTTCCAACACGCCGTTTTTATCGGTGTTCGGCTTTACCCCCATGAACAAGGAGTTCTGTCCGGAGTGCAACAATATGCTCTATCCGAAAGAAGACAAGACAGAGAAGCAGTTGTACATGGCATGCCGTAACTGTGAGCATGTGGAGGAGGCGATGAGCAACAAAGTGGTGGAGAATGTTTTTCATCGCGAATTCACCGAAGAGATTGACCAGGAAACGGCGAAGGACATGACGATGGATCCAACGTTGTTTATTGCTAGCGTAAAGTGTGACAGGTGTGGATACGGATATGCGGTGTATTTCGAGCCTAAGGGAAATAACCCTGACTTAGAGCTGAAAATATGCTACATTTGTAAGAAATGTTATAATATTTGGATGTAGACCGGAATAACTACTTTGTTAATTTTTTGGGAGTTTGGAATATTACCGCATGTATTTGCGCTATTCCAGGCCTTTTATCTCGCAGAATAATCGGTGATTGATACAAATAAAACATTTAATACGCAATTACCGTACAATAATTGATCGCAATTTGATGTTGGCACGGAGTGGTGATAGTTATTTGAACTATTGCCACTTTGCAAAAAACATATTTAAACTAAAAGAGCAGCTGTAATGCTAGCAATATTTGATTTTCTTGAAAAGTTTTATCGGTTCTTTGTTACTGCCACTACCAAGGTGTTCTCTCTAGGCAGCAACAACGTTTCGTACGCTGTGTTCAGTACAGTTTATTCGTGTGCACTTATCATCGGATCTATGCTTTAACCGGTAAACAAAGGAGAAATATGCCTTTTTGTAAAGGATGCGTATCTCTTTGACATCCGCCTTAGATATCGTACGTTGGTAGCGTTTTGAATTTAATTACCGGATAATGTAGGTGTTATACCCGTTAGATCTCTCTGCAGATGCTCAATTGTTTAAAGCAATCATATCTAATTAGCTTCGATTCCCGAACATATACAATTTGTCTTTACATTCTGCCAGGTTCTGCAAGAGAATTGCCAATTTATCATCTCTACCATGTCAAATAACGGAATTTAATAATACAGCTGATAGGAGGACTGCAATACATTGCGATGGCGATTTATATTACAGGTTCTCCTTTGATCGTTATACCTGTCAAGAATCAAACATGTCTATTTGAATGCATTCTCTGCAACTCTTTCTTCAGAAAACGAGAAATAGTGCTTTTTTAACAGAAATGATGAAATTTCTGTGGTAAAATATGACATTTTGCTATCAAATGATAAGTTTTAAAAATATAAATAGGGAATGGAAAAGCAATCGTATGGGTATTTACCATTTATTTTTGGCTTGTGCTTTTTTATTGGGCATAGATCAAATTAGCGCTTATAATCCAGAATCTACCTCAACTAGCATTTTGTTCAGCGGAAAAATATATGAAATGGCGGATTGTGATAATAGATACGCATTTTTTACTGCTTTTATTTTTCGTATTAATGAAATATCGATTTTATATAATCAACTTGAAAAAATATTGAGAACGGACAAAAAACGTACCAGCAAACTATCTGCAGTGTTTTCAATTGATCAGCTAGAAGCAATTGCAAATGGTAAGAATGTGCTTAAGATGCCAAACTATGAACGAATACTATTATACCACGATTCATTCTTAGACGTAGCGTCTGACATAAGGAAACATTCCGGAAGAATCTCGACGTTTGATACAGAAGACATACAATACTGGGAAGCATATGTTCAAGTGCTTGACATTGTTGTAGATTATTTTGGATTGCTCTGTTTGTTTCTCGTACCAGATCGAAATACAATCGAAGTGACAATAAATAAAAAATTATCAAACGAGTTGAAGAGAAGAGCGTATGTGTTAGGTTTCAGTGCTGAAGAAGGCAAATTATCATTTTTTGGTATTGAAGACATGGCAAAAAAAGACTGGCGGTGTGATGAAATAGTAAAAATGATTTTGAAGGTTAGTCAATGGATCGAACCAGCAAAAAATATATTATCGAATAATTTGAAGAGAATGCGTACAGAAACAGAAAAGTATGCTCGATTAAATCTTCAGGTACCGCCAACATCCTTCAAACAGCTGTTTGCGTATCAGAAGCAGTTGTTAAGCAGTAAATCCGTCGGTAGTATGGGAATCATAACCATAATAATGTACGACTTCGATCTTCATATGAGTGTTACAGAACATTTCAGTCTACTAAACGTTCCATTGAAAGCTGAATCAGCGGCCAGTGTTGCAGAATTTTTGCTTTCGCTAAGGAATCAGCATCTGAAGACGAAAAAAAAACAAGTGAGCCAAACCAACGAAAAAGCGATTGCTAATCCGGTAAATAGGAATCTGCAAAGCGAATAATGAGCAAGTATGCAAACTAATATTGAATAAAGCTGGAAATTTGATAATTAACAGAATACATGACATCTTTGAGGTATCCGATAAATCGTTTCAAAAATTTTAGTTTGTTTTCAGAAGAGCGGCAAATGTTTTAATTTCCATTAAATTGGGTAAACGTGACTCACAAAAACTTCTACTCACAGAGGAGGATAATCTCCAAGGTCATGTACCAAATTCACACTACGATGTAAAGCACACATTGGTGCATGAGTATTTCAATTTATGTTGTTAAATGGATTGTATGATCGTGTAGTATGGCTCGACTAGTTGAGATAAAGCGGAGTACGAAGCTCATTTTATGACGGAATGACCCGTTTTCGTGTGAATACAAATTATTTAAACATGATTGTAGTTTAAACCTTCATTTCTCTTCAACTGCAGCTATTCGTTGAAAATATCTTCCATTCAATCATTCTTTTTCTTCTCACCATTCCAAGGCTGCTATCTTCATCGTTAACAATTCTCAAATCACCAAGCTCTCTGTATTCCACTATACCGCTCAGGTGCCCGTACGTACTAACAATCGTATAAAATTTTTGTGCGGTCAAAACTACCAAATACATCAACTAATTTTGCCATATTTAATTCGTGGTAATGGTTGAGGTGTACAGCGAGAAGAACGTGCTTACAAACCAGGGATCTTAACCACTTTGCATTTGGAATGTAAAACACTGAGTTAATTGCCCAATGTTTTTACACAAAAGATGTGAGCAAATGGCCTGCAGCGCTGTGCAAAGATCTACAAATTACCAAAACTTTGCAAAGGATGATCTACAAATTACCAAAACTTTGCAAAAGATGATCTACAAATTACCAAAACTTTGCGAAGGATGATCTACAAATTATCAAAACTGTGCGAACGCTACGCCCCATCATGCTGAGCATCAATTACCTGTCCAGAACAGTAAGCGTACGTGGTGGTAAAAGCTTCTGTAATTTAAGTGAACCGCATCAAAAAAGCGATAACTCACAATTTTAAGACTAACACGTACTTATTTTACTTCTGAGCACTCTCAAACAGATTGACCTTTCCATCGTGCATGAAATCAACGATTTTGCCATCAACCACCATGTCATAGAACACAGAAACATTCTCCCAGTTGATTAGTTCGTACCATCCATCAAGAAAGTCCTTCTTGTTCGCGTTGAACTTGAGATAATAGGCATGCTCCCACAAATCGCATGCCAAAATGGGAAAGAGATTGTCCTTCATTATCAGGGGATTGTCCTGCTGGTACGTGGTGTAGAGCACCAATTTCTTGTCGGTGCTATTATAGCACAGCCATTGCCAGCCAATTCCAAGTATACCCATGCACTCGCCCAAGAACTTCTCCCTAAGCTGGTTCATATCACCAAAGTCCCTTCCTATCTGGTCGTGCAGCGGCCTCATCATTTCCTTGTGTGCCGGTTCGCTTGACATGCAGTGCCAGTACATCGTGTGATTGTAATGACTGCCAGCGTTGAAGTTCAGCACGTTTCTGAGCCTAGTGTCAAGATCGGAAGTCTTCTTAATCAGGTTGAGAAGAAGACCTACGGTGGTCTCTGGATATTTGGTGCTCTTCAATGCGTTGTTCAGGTTGTCAATGTACTTTTGGTGGTGCTTGGTGTGGTGTATTCTCATCGTGTTCTCGTCAATTTGTGGCTCAAGCGCATCGTACTTGTAGGGCAGTGTCGGCAGTTGGTACATTGGGGTAAGGGTTTGTATTTTTTTATGGCTTGTTTGTGAAGTGTGATGTGTTTTGATAGTAAAGATTTGCTAATTTATCATATCAACAGATCGAAACGATTGTTAGGTATTAAATTGCGCAAAGTACCGGTTGATAACGAACTCTCACGTATTCGACCTAACTATTACGTTCAGAGTAGGCACCGTGAACAAAATAAATGGGCCCTTCTGTGCGTGTAGCCCGGACATTTTGTGGGCTAGAAAAGCACTTCTTCGTTTTTATGACGTGTTGCAGCAATTAACTCAGATCTACCGACGAGATATCGTGTGTGACCGGTGTATTAGTTCGGAACAGACTGTTTTATCGTGAACTCGGTTCAAAATAGAAATTATCTTTTATGGTATGTATGTCCAACCATGGATGGTTCGTACCTATCGCACAAAATATTGCTTGTTGAAGCAGATCGGGTGACACTCACGTTTATTAGATCATTTTTACCGATTAAAAGATTATTTAATTAGCAGTACAATGGTGAGAACAGAATGGTTAAGTAATTCCTTTGTTCTCTATGACAATTAATATTTGCTTATACTGCTCTTTCGAAACAATCTGCCATTCCTGTTCGTCTTGCCGAGTGAGTGCAAGGTAATTAGGAAATATATTTGCATTGCTGCGTTTCCTTCATGTCATACAACTCATTGATACTCAGCGGCTGTTATCAGCACTGAGAAAGCCTAGAGCTGCTCCCTACACCGGCTTTTATTCCAGATATGTTTTTGGAGGGAGTTCAACAGGTAATTCAGTGCCGGTTGCAACACCGCTATTGCACAAATTGTATTTGCCGTACAGCACGGCGTAACCATCCATGAAATAAAATACGGGCTGTGCGCAGAAGAACAGCAAAAAATTTTTGAGCCCTCTAATGGCCAGCAGAAAAAAAATCGGGAAGAAAAGACTCGACAAGTATTACCATCTTGCAAAAGAACAGGGGTACAGGGCAAGATCAGCATATAAACTCATACAACTCAACAAAAAATTCAATTTTCTTTCGACATGCACGTCTGTTGTCGATCTGTGCTGTGCTCCTGGTGGATGGCTGCAGGTGGCAGTGCAGCACAATATTCCGGATGTTGTAGGTGTAGATTTATATCCCATCAAAAAGATTAACAACGTCAAAGCAATCGTGGGAGACATTACGTCACCAGGCACCGTGAAAGAAATACTCAGTATGGTTGGCGAGGCTGACTGTGTACTGCACGACGGCGCACCAAATGTTGGTGTCTGCTGGGAAAAGGACGCATTTGAACAGAATGAGCTCGTTTTGCATGCTATAAAGATTAGCACAAAAATTCTTAAGAAGGATGGGGTGTTCCTCACAAAGGTGTTCCGATCGAAGGATTACTTCAGCATTTTGTGGGTGCTCAACCAGCTCTTTGAGAGCGTTGTTTCCACCAAGCCGATTTCCTCAAGGGAGGTGAGCGCTGAGATATTCGTGTTCTGCAGGGGGTACAAGAAGCCCTCAAAGATTGATGACAAGTTTTTTGACGCCAACCATGTGTTCAAGGAGAAAGAGATAAGCGAGAATTATTACAAGGTGATAAAGTTCAGCGAATTTTTCATGTCGGAGGAACCAAAGACCGTTCTCGAAACATACACCAAGATGCTTATCGATGTGAAGGGAGAGCTGTTTGACAGGATTTTTGACCAGAATTTCAAGCTCATGCTGGACGATCTGAGACAGATTAGCAAGCATGATGTGAAGAAGATTCTACAAAAAAAGAGAAAAGCTCATCAAATTCATAGAAAATGGCGAGTACGTCGAGGGCTTGGATGTGCCAGTGAAGGAGACCGTTGTTCACCTGGATGAGCCACCCGAGGAGAACAAGCTGGACCGGATCAAGAGGGAGATGAAAAAGAAACAGCGAGAAGAGAAGAAGAGGGAGATGCACAACAAAATTAAATGCGCAAAATCGAAGGTGTTTGAGAGATTGGCAAGCATAGACAATTTCTTTGAGGATCGGCTTTTCCAGAGCAACTTGGATAAAGGCGACGGCGAGGATAAAACTGTGAACAACAAGATGATCGTTAAAAACGCATCTGGTACGAATAGAACAGACGAGATCAGCAGTGATGAGGCGAGTTTTGAGTTGAATTCCGATGACAAACGTTTAATTGTAGAAATGAAGAACGATAGAGAAGCGTTTGAGCTACGCACGGTAAACAGGTACGCGCTGAACAGCACTTCTGATCTGCCCAAATTTTATACGGACGAACAAAAGAATTCCAACCGGCTTAAGAGTGTGATTGACGATAAAAACTACAAGAAGGTGACTAAAAAGCAACAAGAAGTTATGAACAGGCGGGTTAGACGGGCAATGAAGTTCAAGAAAGAGATAATGGAGGAGATTAGTGATGAGAATGATAGGCCGCAACGGTTATTTAAGAGTTGTTTGAAAAAGAGTAGGAACAAGCCGAAGGTGGTTGTCTGCAATAAGGGAAGACCGGCACGTACGATGAAGGGACGGGTGAAATACGTGGATAGAAGAATGAAAAAAGATCTGAGGAAGAACAAAAAGATGAGGAACTGAATTCTATAACTACGTTTTGGATTGAAGGAATGACTCAGATAAATAAATTATTTTACACGATAAGCACCGTATACATTCCATTCACAACACGCCTTTCCGTTCGGTACGTTATATAAGACGCAATACTTTCTTTAACGAATATTTTGTTGAACACATCCACTTCATATTTCTGTTCATGGCGTGATTACGTCTACTTTGATGCTTGAAGAGCAAAAGCTATACTGCTGGTACAAAACGAATGAATGCTTGGTATTGACAATCATGCACAGCGTTTCAATGAGATGTTTTATTCAAATATTAACACGAATCGAGAACAATTCAACATCATCTAATAATACGTACGCTCTGGCATGCCATATTAAAAGACCTTGCGCTGCACCATTACCAAGATAACACGAAAGGCACAAAATGAAAATGTTCAACAGGTGCAACTGATAAAACAGCCTAAAACACACGTGAAATACAAGATAAATGATCATTTACGGCACATACCACGCTGATAGAGAGAGCGTACAGAACATACATAACACGCAATGGGCAGGTTACCTCAAATGCTCCAATTGTTTTTATCACTTGCAAGTTTATGGTATTTTTGATTTTCTGTTGAACTTTTCTGCCATCATAAGATGTTTTTTGGTACTTTAATCTTTATAACGAGTGGGCACTGAATCAGTTCCAGTTTTCTTATGTTCTATCCTCGGCATTTACTTCTTAGAGAATTGATCCGATATTAACGGTGGACCCACTGCCTTCATGAATAAAGACCGGTGGCACGGTCAATCCCAGCAGACCGAAAAATGTGCTTGTGCGAATGATGTGATACCACGAGATAAACGACCTACTTTAAAAAAGCAAACATACATTTCCTACAGACAAGATCGTTCGCAAACACAACAATTTACTGTAATTCCACAAACCATGTTTGCGTCAATGAGCGTAATGACGCAGATTCACACGCGAACAATAACTGGTCTTTCTTACAACAGTATCAAAGACAAGTCTCAACGAGTGTTTAAATAGTACTTGTGCAAGCGAATGCACACATTTCTAACCATTTCACGGGCGTGCAGTGCTCCAATGCTGGTATGGCCCAACGTGATTGGTAATCAGCAATCTAATAAAAAACAAAACGACCCCCTGTACGACTGGTACCATGTCTGAAATCGTTACATTAATTTCATCTGACAACAAAAAATTTGAAGTCCCAGAGTACATCGCAAATGAAAGCAAAACACTGCGCATTTTCTTTGACAGGAGCAGACCGTTCGTTGAGGCGATAGAACGCAAAGTGTTGCTGCCCATAAAGTCTAAACTGCTGATGAGAGCTATTGAATACCTGGAGTATAAGCACCAATACAAAGACAAAAAAATATACGAGATACCGGAATTTCCTATCCATGACGATGAGGCACTCGATCTTCTGGACGTGTCCGTTTATCTAAAGATATGAGAGTTGGTCTATCACCAGCTTGATCGCATGCAGAGTGTCATAGAACATATTAATTCACGTGTTGTGTGAAAGCGAGCAAGGTAGTTGTTCTGTTAAACCCGTTTTTTCTTCGATCGTTTTCGGCTCGTTGGATGGACTGTTCCACGCGCAACTTTTTTTTTGAATTGTTCATCACGATGGCATTCCGTAAAGTGTTTGATGTTCGATGTGTTCTGAAAGGACCTTCACAATGTTAATTGAATTACAGTCATTTCTCGAACATGGTATTTGCAAGAGATACCGATTTTTATTTGAAGACCAAACAGCAACGTAGCGAATGTTGTACCGTAAATAAACTGTTTGCAGCATTTAATTCAGTCAAAATAGCCTTTTAACGATGTAAATGCCACATAAGTTTGCAGCGATGCTGTTTGGCCGCCTCTCGAGTGGTTAGTACTTGCGAGCCACGTAAACACATTTAACAATTCAAATTTTACGTTGTTGTCGTGGACTAAACCTGACATGCGATGGTAATTTTAACAATACTAAATCCTTTTATTCACCAATACTCCACTTTCTCATTCACCGATCAAAACAGCATCCATCAAGACCAAAAACCTGCAGCTTGATACAACCCATGGCTCATGCCTTGACTTTCATACGTGCGTACCTCAAACCATTTTCCCTACCAAACAGGTCTTTAATTCGAGGCATGTCACAAACTTGTCATCGTTTACGGCCGAATAGATTCTTCGCCGGCTTGTCGTCGTTAATTATCTTGTAGCTGTCACCGCTTCCCCATTTACCAGCAGCTGTTAATGAGCCTGTAAATTTGCTTGTGATGCTCTCAATGTACTCTCTAATAGTTTTGAACGTGCTGCTCACGTTCTTTTTGTACGAAACACCCTTCAGTGAGATGGGCCCCTTCGTATCTTCTTTCTCCTTGGATGCCTTGTTGTCCGAAACATCCTCACACGACTTGTTCTCGTGAGCTTCATTACCGTTCGTCAGATTCGTTTTGTCTGTTTCGTGACATGCCGTCTTATCCTGTAACACGTCCTGTTCGGTGTTTTCCTCGGTTGAGGTACTCGTCTTCTTGCCGCTCTCTTTCTCAATCTTTTTCTCGCCCACATGTGATATATTCTTCTTCTCTCCGTCGCTTGACACTCTCTCTGTTTCTTTCTCTCCCTTTTTACTGCTCTTTCCGTTCTTTTTTCCCTTTTTCTTGTGAAGAACGGCCGAGTACCTGTCCTCCTCATTCTCACAACTAATAAGACCTCTCTCCTCCATTCTATGTCTATCGCTACACTTTGCTGTCAAAATGTCATGTTCTATCTTCTTCGCCTTCGCCACGTTCTTCAGATAGAATTCCGAGTTCTTGTCCAGAACAGTGGTGTAGTCCGATTCATTAAATTCTGGCTTGATACCGAAGAGCCGCTCGTTGGCCTCGAACTGGTTCCAGTCCTTTACGCCCTCCGGCATCCTTATGATATGCTGCTCATCATTGTTTAATATTTTGCTGATATCTTTCTCCTTGATGAATATCCTGTATGTAATTTCCCCATCATCCATGAAATGCGCGTCTGTGAGCTCAATCAGCTTATTTTCGTACGATTCCAGTTTTCCGGTGACTGTTTTTTTGTTTTTCAGTTCCAACGTGATGATCGAGGAATCAGACATGTAAAAAAGGGTGTCGCTAATTTTTTATGTAATTTTCGCTTTGATGTTTTTTTATTTGATTGGTCAGTCGAGACGCTGTGAATGCGTAATTGTAAAGAAAAATGATCGATTGAATTTCAATCAATGTTTTGCAACAGAAAAACAGCGAATTGACCGCGCTGTCAATTTTTGGCAAAAAAATTTTGGTTTAATAATTAGGGCAAATTTACGAATTAGTGATAGCAAATTCGGAGATAGGACCAAACACAGAAAGGGGCGGGTGTAAATATGGTACGTTGTTCTCCGTGCTGTTATTCTCCTACAGTTTATCAACACAACGATTGGGCACTACGCGTTTCTTTACGGGCCAATACTATGGCAATCTGCCAACATGCCGCAGCATTACGAGGCCGACATTGTAATGATCACACACCTTAAATGAAGAGGCTCAATGATTGCTGTGATAAATCATGCGGACGAGTTTCAACAATAAAACAAAACTGTTTTCAGAGGGCGTGCGTCCTTGGAACGACAGCACCTTTCATGGAGCACTTCAACCCTTGCCAAACCAATGATTGCGGGCTGCAAATGAAAAACAAACAAGAAGCACCGGTAACACGGTTCTATTCCATTTGTACAGCGCAATTATTAATTTGAAACAATTTCTTTCCAAAAACGGCTAATCATCCTGAAAAAGAGGCAAAATGAAAACATGCGATATACAATTCGTGTGTAAGTGCTATTTTTGAATGTTTAAGGCATTAAAACATGTTACATCTGCTAATACACATCACATACTTTTATTTGACATGCTGATGTCGCAGCAAACAGCGCTCACTCGTTGACAAATCAGCAGTTTTACATGTGCAGCAATGCCAAATGCACAATTTATCTGCTACAGACAGCCAGCACCTCATTTTTAGTTCATAATTCGTTAAATTACAAAATTCATGTTTTACAATACAAAAAAACGAATTTGTACACGTAATGTAATTAGAAATGATGAAAAATATTGCATATGACGTATAAGAATGGTGCGACAATCAAAAAGAATGGTAACAGGGAAATCATTACGCCCTTTGTGGAAACGGAGTTTCTCAGTTTGTACACGTTTTACTTACCTTTTCTTGCCTTGTGCTGTTTTTTGCCACAAAGTATTTGCACCATTTTTTAATCACCATCAATGGCACACACCAAATTTTTGGTGTCTATAAAAACACAAAGTTTCTTCTCAAGCCATGAACAGGATGCAAACATAGGCGATCTACCGATTGACTGCTCAATATGAACTGCCCGTTTCAGACAAGGAATTGAACGAAACCGCAGAAACGCCTTAGCGAAAAATGCACACCCGAATTGTTAGATGCTGCACGGTAAAGCTAATGCCTTACGGATACGGCTAAATGACCGTGAACAATATTTGTGATTCGTTGGTAGGGCACTCAAAATACGAAAAACTTTCTATCTCGGCTTCACAAGCACGTTTAATATCAAAAGTCTCAGAACTCAACGGCATGCACATCCATGGTAGAATCGCACCACTTACACAAAAAACCTATGTTTTTAAATGTACTTACCGCGCGTTGACAGTACCTGCTGTTGAACAACCGCTAGATTCTCTTCTACATCATAAACGGCAACCACCACACCAACACTCATCTAAAGATGCATTTCCGGTTCACCATGCTCAACCAGTTGTGCAGTACAAGCAATGAACCGTTTATCACCGTCAAATCCGTAATTTATTTACTATCTCTCATTTTTCCACTCTTCCTTCGCCTGACCTATCAGGCTGTCAAGATCCTCCTCAAGACCCTTTAAATTCTCCTTGATCAGAGTAAGAACAGGTGTGTCCTTCTCCGCGCTCACTTTCAGGTCCACCTCCTCATTGAGTGGATGGCTCACCTTGTATGCGCTGAAAGTGCAGCGCGGATCACTCAGAATCTTCTCAGCAATCATATTTCCCAGCGTATGAGACTCTCCGTTGATGTGCAGCTCGATCGTGTTGGGCGTGTCTTTGCTGTATTTGATGCTCAAATATTTCTGGTTCTCTTCTTGCATGGGGTGCAGACGTGCGGGATGAATAAAAATTGAGTGGCATGCTTGTCAAGGAAACGATGGCATCGAATGAATCGGTATGATCAAAAGAATGTTTCAGTTTACAAAATTATGTACGTGCGTAGAAGCCGTAATATCTGGCTTAATGTGTTAGAAACGTTCTTCTAGTCATAAATAGAAGGAGCTACTTTTTCAATCCCTGCATTCTCTGGCACCATGAGTCAAACTCGTTAGAATGATTGCTATTTTGCACCACGTGCTGTAAAGCAAAGGTAAAATTAGTGTTGCTGTGGTGTGAGAGGTACATGAACGTACTTTGTTGAAAATACACTTATTGCCCATCATTCCAGCGATTGGTGGCATTGCTGCTCGTATCTGACGGTACTGAGCAACCGCTCCGTTTGATAGTTTGGTTCGTCACATCTTTCGTGCCATCGGCAGTAAACAGCCATTATTTGCACAAAGCATTGCTCATCGCTAATCTCATTTTATGATGCGCTCGCATCGCAATGGCAGATAATGCATATCATGATCTGCTCACGTATCACCACTCCGTCTACAGAAAAGAAGCTGTGCGGCCTCCAAAAATTTTCAAGACATGTTGAGAGGAATTGCCCAGCATACCTAGAATTCGGCAAAGGGGTGAAACACCGTAAACCAAGAAACGACAGAAAGATAAAAATAAAACAAAGCGTTCCCATATCATCAATTTAACTAACGATACCTCTTAAGACTAACGGTATTACGATTTCTCCATGCAGCCCTTCTCGATCCACCAGCGGTCTGTGCAAAACGATACCCTTTGCCCAGTCCTCTTGACCGCCTTGTTGCCGATGTCAGGCCTCTGCACTCTCTGTGCTTCATCTCGGCCTTGCACAGCCAGTTGTACTTCCCATCGTTTCTAATCGTCTTATTCATAGGATCAACCGCAACCGCCTCAAAAATCTTGTACTGCCTGTCCTCACACACCCAATATGATCCCAGTATTCTCAGATTGCCAAGTTTACGGCCCAGCCTTATCTCGCCCAAACCCTGCAAGTTCTTCGTCGGCTTCCTGTGGTAAATCCCAGATTTAGACGGCTTTCCGTCCGTCTTACCATCATTAGCTTTCCTTGGCCTTCCTCCACGCTTTATACGCACACGGAAAACGTATATACCGGACTTTCTCTTGTATCCGATCATCCTCGCCTTGTCGGGGTATGTGGGGCGCTCTGCACGATGCACGGCAGGACGCTGTCTATACTCCCACATTCTTATTCTCGACAGGTACCTGCACACATCGCTCTGTTTATTCCGTCTGAATGCTTGGAGATAATCCTTCGCTCCCATTTCAGGGGATGAAAAACTAAAATTTTTTAAATCCACCCAGCGGCTGTTCTATGGGATACAAACGATACGTGTAGGTATATTCAGCTGTTGTAGCACAAACGAAAACGTGTTGGGGAGAAACACACGATATAGCCTTCAGAGTGTTTCAATTTTCGGCTCGAAATTTTGGTGTAGCAGTGCTTGTTCACGCCCATCTTTCCAAAGTATAGGCGTAATGGCACAGGATTTAAAGGAAATGAAGAGGTGGCTGTAAAGGCATCAGAACAGCTATCGATGACCGAACTGTGCCGGTAGAATTAACAAAGTGTTTGAAAATGATGCACGCACATTTCACCAATTTATTCTGTAACAACGATAAAATACGGTGCACAAGAAAATCCTCACCAAACGGTATTAAAACGTTGTGTAGAACTAATCAAGGTAATTACGAAGGAACCGAAATGGCCCATTTAAATTTATTGTTCATGATAATACGTTTATGTTGGCATTTCTTTGGCAAAAAATGTGTTGACTGGCACACACCTCGTATAAAACAATGAACCATATGCCAAATCAAGTATAACCGATTGCCAAAGCGTTAGCACGTGGCTTGTTGCGGTTTATCTTGCTTGGCGTGTGTTCACGCAAATCACTTTTGTGCATGGCAACTTTCCGCACAAGTATAAATTGTGCAATCTTGCACCCAAGGAAATAATACGGTGCGACTTGGAGCATTAAGACGTATTTAATCGGTGCAAATCATGTATTTTGAATTGTCAGGTAAAATGCAGTTATTTCATCATATTTAACGGTAATTTATAATGAATGCCAACATTAAATCGAAGTATGAACAAACATGGGATGGTAAATACGTGGTTACGTATAAATATCCGCTGTTATATCCGCTCATGACATGGACAAGATGTTCATCCTGATTCACTGCCGTGCTAAGCTTTTCATGGCTCGCCAACCACCAAGGTGGTACTTAGGGCAGAATAACACGTGAAACCCCTGAAATTGTTCATTAGAGTCGTACTCGGCAGTTCTTCAACACAATACCCTGGACGAACAGCAATGAACGCAGGAAATAGGCGGGCAGTAATAGAATGGGGAATAAGCATCTACGTTGCACCGATGTGCACCAATAATTGAACTATTACACGTAAATTTTACCTACACACGCCATACGGGTGCACTTTTTACAGGGTAACGATCGGCATGCCGTAGTACGTTCAAATACATCAGTGCTTGCTAACCATGTATTACTTCTCAATCTCATCTCTGCAAATCGGACAGGTATTCTGCATCCTCATCCACTTTATACAGCACCTCTTGTGAAAGAAGTGGCTGCAGCTCAGTTCAACACCACATTCCTCCTTTCTGTACGTGCTCAGACAGATCATACACTTTCCTCGGTCTTTTGCCCCGGATATCTGCAGTGCCTTTATGTACTTGCTGCTCACAGGGCTGGTTGCCACCTTTGCCGAAACAAATATCTCATCGATTATGTCATCCAGCTCGTGATCAAGCGCGTAGTTATTGATGTCATCTGCGGTGCGGAACCCGTTCCTGTCGTAGAAACGCTCGACAGGTCCACCACCGCTCGTGTTCTGGTCAGACCAGTAATGGTCGGTACCATAGCGGTATACAACATCTTCCGTGCTGTCTCTCTCTGCTCCGTATCTCCTCCACGCGTGCCGCTCGCCATTCCTGGCACGCCCGCCCCTGCTCGACCTGATATTGAGCAAATCGCGGGTTAGCCGTCGTATCCTATCGCTAATATCGCTTATAAGCCAATCCAACTCGTTCACGTCAACCTGGCCTATTGCTATGCTCCTGAGTATCTCGCTTATCCCGAAATGAACACTCCTGTAATACTCGACAGAATCGTATATTTCGATAAATTCACTGTCACAAAACGCGCACAGGTCATTGTGTGGCACGGTGCGGCTGCCGCATGCGTGACAGTAGTAAATCGTGTGGTGCGGCATGTTATGGGCGGATGCTTTTCGCTTTTTAATTCAATTTTTTGAATTGTGGTGGAGTGTTTCAGATAGGTGACCAATAAATCAGAAGATACCGATATACAGCATTTTTACAGTATACCGGAGTACACTGCCCCCTCATGGTATGTTACGAGCCCAAACTACCGATATACAGCATTTTAACAGTATACCGGAGTACATTGCCCCCTCATGGTATGTTACGAGCCCAAATTACCGATATCTACGCTCCTTCACAAAACTGCACTCTGGCCGTTTCAGCGCTTGTTTATTTCGGCAATTTGTTAAAGAGAAATTCGTTTGACCACAATTAAAGTTAAAACAGCAGAGGGCACACCTTCATTCCGGGAGGCTGCCTTTTAATCAGAACTGAGCACGTGTCAAAAAAATAATTTATTATTTTGATGAGACGTGCAAAATGCTAATCATCCCATAAGAACGCACAAAAGGTGCATGAAACAGTTGTTGTGTTGGAGAACACTTCAGCCACAACATGTCTGTTTGGTCTTTCGCCATTGTATTGCATACTCAGGTACCGCTAGCAGCAAATGGGGAGCTTAATTAGAGTTTGCACACAAAAAGGAATGCTCAAACCTTATGTTTGCATAAACACACCTATAAATGGAAGAACACAAAAAATCGCATAAATATGATTATCACACACAAATTTAAATATCATCACACAAGCGCAGCCTTGGTGCGATATTCATGCCCATCAATTCCTGCAGCAACAGCTTGAACGCGTAGGGCATTTCCACGATGGCAAGCTTTGTCTTATTACCGCAGCCCTTGCAACCGTCCTCCAGACAGAACAGTCCGCATTGCTCGCACACGATAAGCGAAAAGAAGTCGCTCACCTCGAACAGCCTCTCCCTGAGGAACAGACTGGTGCCATGCGATATTATGCAATCACGCTCCATCTCGCCGAATCGCAGGCCACCGTCGCGCGATCGACCCTCAGCAGGTTGTCTGGTAAGTACCTGCAGGGGCCCGTGCGCACGTGCATGCACCTTGTCCTGCACCATGTGCTTGAGTCGCTGGTAGTAGGTCGGACCTATGAAGATCTGAGCGTCCAGCTTGCGACCCGTCATCCCATTGTACATCGTTTCGAGACCACGATGCTCGTAACCAAAGTCCTTGAGCTGCTCGCTGATTGCCTCAACCGTCACATCGGAGAATGGTGTTCCATCGCCCTCCTCACCTGCGAGCGCGCTCACTTTCCCAAGCAAACACTCAATCAAGTGACCGATCGTCATTCGGCTCGGGATGCAGTGCGGGTTTATGATTATATCAGGAATTATTCCCTCGCTGGTGAACGGCATGTCCTCGGCACGCAGCGTGATCCCAATGGTTCCTTTCTGTCCATGGCGACTTGCAAATTTATCGCCCATCTCGGGCACTCTGCAACTGCGTATCTTCACCTTCGTGAACTTGTAGCCCTCCCTGTTCGTTACAATTACGCTATCCACTACGCCCTCCTCTGTAGGCCTCATAGCAGTACTTGCATCTTTCCATGATACATTCGTCGCGTTGCTCTCCGTGTTGATCTTCCCGTCCTTGTTGTCGATCAGCGCTCCGCCATCCGCACCTGTACGCTCAATGACCGGCAAAATTTTACCTATCAGAACATCCTCCCCGGTTACCCTCGCACCGGGATTAACGATGCCATCTTCGTCCAACTTGTCATAGTTCAGGTTCTTCATGCGTAATACCTCGCCTCGACGTGGCTTGGCAAACACTTCTACACAGCCTGGACCATTCATCGTTTCCTGATCCGTGTACGTCCTGTACAAGAACGATCTAAACAGACCGCGGTCTATCGCACTCTGATTCATTATTACGCTGTCCTCTTGGTTGTAGCCCGTGTAACATGCAATTGCTACGATCGCGTTTTGACCGGCAGGCAGTTCACGGAAACGCAGGTACTCCATCGCACGCGTAGTCACGAGCGGTTTCTGCGGGTAGAACAAGATGTTAGACAGACTGTCCATCCGGAGTAAGAAATTGGTTGCGTATACACCCATCGCCTGTTTGCTCATTGCACTTTGGTACGTGTTTCTCGGGCTCTGGTTGTGATCAGGAAACGGTATCATCGAGGCACATATGCCAAGTATCATAGACGGATGTATCTCGCAGTGCGTGTAGTTCGTTATCAGGTCATGCAGATCGTCTCCAGGAGTCGCAGGCGCTATGTGTTTGCCCATGTTTCTGGAAGCATGTCCCTTGGATCTTTCCACGCTTTCACCCCTTTCTCCGCGCAACTCTGCATTAACACGATCCGTGACCATCTGTTGTTTGTACAGCTCGTCGGGCGACATGCATATCATCGCTTGGTCCTCCTCTTCCACGTCCAAGTACTCAACTATGCCGTTGTTCACCAGGTCCTCCCAGATCATCTTACCTTCCCTCAGCATATTCGCATGCTCAGCTGTAAATAGAATACGATTGTTTTCCACGACGAAGCATGGCCTGCACGGCCTACCTGCATCGCACAGAATGCGTATTTCCTTATCGCGCAGCGACTGCACGATGCTCACGTCTTTGTGAATACGGGCCTGACGCTTCATACGTTTTAGCACGGTGTACAAAAACTCGCGCTCGGTCGTGATACCTAGCCACGTGCCATTTACAAACACCTTAGTTGCCTTGTTCACCTCTGATGCCGCCACCTCCTCGAGACTCTTCAGCCCAAATTCCTCGAGCAGTTCTACAACACCCTCGATCGGATGGTTCACAGAGATGTATGCAAGTAGCGAAAGGTTTTTCACAAGACCACATGCCTGTCCTTCTGGAGTCTCTGCGGGACATACCATGCCCCAATGTGTGTTGTGCAACTGCCTGGGCTTTGCCAGCTTTCCCTCGCGGCCCATCGGCGAGTTAACACGCCGAAGATGGCTCAGCGTGCTTATGAAATTGTAGCGGTTGAGCACCTGTGCAACTCCCGCCTTGGTTTGCATCGCCCGTGCTTGCTCACCCCAGTTGCCTGTTGCGAGCGAGTATCGGAAGCCTTGTGTGATTATGCTCGTCTTTAGACCCAGCGCAATGTTAAAATCTCGCTTGTTTTCTATGCACTTCTGCATATGCTTGATCGTCTCCTGGCAGAGCTTCCTGAACAACACTTTGAAGAGCTGTGCGAGGAGTGGACCGGCCAGGTCCATTCGTTTCTTTCCATAGTGGTCGCGGTCATCGGGCGTGACTCTTTTCATCGCGCAGTTGAGTAAGCGTTGAATCATGTATCCGAAGAAAAATGCCTTCCTTGTCTCACAGAACTGCTTGTCTCCGATGTGCGGAAGAAATTCCCTGGTCAGGATGTCCTTGGCAAATTGTATTCGTTTCTCCCGCGGACTGCCAGCCGGCGCACTCCTTTTGCCGATGTAATCGAGCGCCACGTTTTGATCCTGTATCACAAAGGCCTCCTCGATCGATGGCCGTATTACCTGCAGCATCTCCTTGTCGTTCGGATCGTAGATCAAGTGCTCCATTATTTCCTTATCCGATACAAAACCAAGCGCACGATAGATCACAATAACAGGAATGTCTTGCCGGACACCTGGTAGTGTTGCCCGCAGCAAAAATTCAGTCTCTGTCTTCTTCACCAGCTTTACAATCAGCGCGGATGGTGTTTTAGATCCCTTCTGCGGCGCTGACCGTATCTCAGCGTAATGCGTGTATGTGGATACGCTCTTCTCAAATACATGCACAACATTTGTTGCCATTCTCTCTTGCGCAATCAGCACCTTCTCTGATCCGTTAATTATGAAATAACCGCCCTGATCATACGGGCACTCACCGAGTTCAGTCAGGTTCTTGTCCGACAAACCGTGTAGTATGCAGCACGACGACCGAAGCATAACAGGGACAAGACCGATAGGCACCTGCCGATAAAAATGATCGTCACTCTCCTCGTTCTCCGCAACGCTTTTGGTGACATCAACGTACAACGGACAGGCATACGTCAAATCTCGTAGCCTTGCTTCACAGGGGAAGAGCGTGTTGGTCTTACCGTCCTGTTCTGTTATAACAGGCGGCTTAGAAATGTAGATCTGCCCAAATTTGAGTATTATCTTCTGCACACTTTCTTTGCCGGCCGATGGTATGCTCTGCACAATCAGCGTATTGTTCTCGTCGATGATTTCCTGCATGGTCGTTTCTATAAACTCGTCAAAACTGTCCAGTTGCTGACGGACCAGACCGTATTGATCAAAGTGTGATGAGATTGCTGTCCAGCAGTCTTCCTCTGTTATCTCTGACATGGGGTAGCAAAAAGTATTTTGTTGTTAAGCTGCTCTGATAAATCAAAGGAAGTGGCATGCAGAGCAATATGCGTGTGAATTTAGAGAATATCTACGTTGAATCATTCTATCAGCATACTGACATTGAATGAAGGGTGTTTATTGATCAAGCGTTGTATTCTGTCTTTTTTTGATTCATCACGGTATCTTGCGTGTTCGATCAGTGAGTATTTCGTTGTATGCGTTGCAAAAGAGCCGAAATAGCACGTAATTTTGTATTCCATGGTATAAAACCATGATTGAGCGAAAAATTGTTATTCTAAATTGAAGCTTGGTTGGATGGTGATATGAGGATGATAGTTCAGCAGAAATAATGGTTGTTTCTTTATAGAGTTATTCAAGCATGATCTGGATTTATGGCACATAGGCATTTACATCGCTGTATACTAGGGATAACCTTATCGCAGTATTTACAGTGTAGATTGATTTACTGCACCTCTAGTGTCAAAGTTAGGAACCTTGGTCCGAAAGCTTACCGCGCAGTTCATTTGTGAATTATGAACGCGCTAAATCAATGGCAGTAACGACTTAGCATATCTAACACCATTAGCACACACCTTTTTGGCTGGAGAGTACGATTAGTGATAGATTCAACGCAGATGTGTGAAACGATTTATGTGTAAGAGACAGTTGCATGGGGCATATAATTCACAAAAGAGAGAATGAGTTTGATATTTAGTTCATATATGGTCAAATTGAGGGCAGCGGTCGGCAGTAAGCTAATCAAAACGAAACATTTCACTAACCGGACGATAAACAATGTACTGTTTTAGCCGATACTTGTATTGCAGTAACCAGCAGCTACATATAATTATGTAGTTTCTGTCACTGAGATACACTTCATGAGTTAATATCTCGTTTTTGATTCGGAGACCGAAATTTATTTGACAGTTAGTTGAGATTTTTATATTTTTATTATATGATGGCATTTCAATGCTCAGTTCTGTTCTGTTTCACTTTATTTGTTGAATAAATAATAAATTTTCCTCTGATTGACAAAACTCTGAGATTTTCGTGCACATACCGAAATATTTCATCGAATTACTTTTTGGTCAAAATGATAAGAAGAGTTTTCTCAAATTTGAGACATTAATCTCAAACAATATTTATGTGCTATTTGTGATGTTTTGGTTAGTTAGTTCCAACGGATGAAAAAGTAGTGCGTCTTAACGTATTTGAACCGTACATTCGAGATAAGTGAATATCTACGTTTCGATATGCAGGAAGATTCTATAGTACTAGAGCGAGATGGTGCTGTTAAAACAAATGGAGCAGGTTTTTAAATACATAATAAAGCGCGTACAATCATTTTTTATCAAATTTTTGAAGAGATAGGTTCTGTTCTACGTTTACAAATTTCTTTTTTAAGTAATAATTAATTCATCTGAGGGTAATGATCGCATTTCATCGCATCATGTTATTAGTTTTACACTTTGTACTATTGCTACCCGCTTTGTTGAGCACAGATTCAGGAACGAAAAATGATGAAATTGGCAACAGCCTGGAAGAAGCAGTAATCAAGCAAGCTAATGACTGCGATACGTCGTACTTTTATTGTAACCCGGATGAAATAAGTTTTAATATCGTATTGCATAATAGGAAAGATGAAGAAGAGGGCACTAGTGTAAAGAATGAGGTCGTTAGCATGCACGATGTGATTACTAATGCATTTAACAAAGATAAAAGCGTAGATGTTGATAGAAACAAAAAGCGGAAAGAAAGGTGGTCCACTATTAATAATTTGGTTG